ATTGAACTCGTGCTGCAGAGGCTGCAGACAGCTTCATAGTGCTGAGACTTAAGCCCTTGCGCCACCAGGGAGGCCCAATAACCTTTCATTTTCTAAAGTAAAGAACTGTTTATTTATGTGAGCCAACTGAGGTGAGCAAAGATTTTGAGGCCTTTTATAAAAATAAAAGCAGGAGGGGAGGGCAAAGCCAACGCCCACAGTCACCCGGGGAAGGACAGTGAGGGTGAAAAGCAAGGGGGTCGTGTGGAAATGCCCCGTCAGCGTCTGCTGGCCCTCGGCGACGGCTTCAGTCTTGCAGAAACATGAGCAGGAGACAGAAGCGGGAACGCGTCCTCGTCACAGCTTCCGCGGCACAGAGAATACGTGAGGTGGGCAGGAGTGTCCCCAGGGCCTGAGACGAGAAGCAGCGCCCCTGGGTCCTGCGGAGAAGGCCGCGTGATGCCGGCCTCAGCCACGGTCCAGGCAGGCCCTGGAAAAGCTGCGCCTGGAGCACGCCCGGCCGGACAGCCCGAGGGCCGGGATCCTACGGGGGTCGGAGCCCCGTTGCTACGCAAGGGCCCTGCTTCCTTTTCTTCCTGGTGGGGCTGAACCAAGGCCTGGGCACAGGGGGCCTAAGGACAGAGGGGCAGCGCTACGGAAGGTAGCGCTACTCCCCATTCTGTCTCTGTCAGCTGTGCTCCTGGCAGCCCCTCAAGTGGCGGAGAGCTTGGCAGGTGGAGACTGCGGCCGGCATGGCAGGTGAGCCCAGCCCCCCGAGGGTGCAGTGCCAGCCTCCCTGCACTGCGGTGCGTGCTTAAAATTAGCCCCCCCCCCGCAAAGCCAGCGGGTGAAAGGCCAGGAGGGAGGCTGGGCCAACTGCTCGATGTGACTCGATGCCAGGACTTGGCTCTTGCGGCCCAGCCCCAGGCCTGGCAGCAGAAAACCAAACCAGACTCACTCCAGGAATCCTGGTGTTAATTGGGAGCTCCAGCCTCCAGGGCCACAGGAGATAAAATCTGTGAAAATGTGGGGTTGGAGGGAGTTGCCTAGGAGAGGACAATGCTTGGGTGTTCCACAGCAGGATGTGTGGGGTGAATGGCTTTCAGTTCTGTTTTTCCCTTAATTTCCTGAATATGTAGGCGACAGTTGTGAGCCCCGAAGGCCTGGGGGCGGGGGCAGTGGCAGCCCCTGGGGTGGCCACAGAGGAGGGACGGGGTTGGCAGCCTCCTGCTCATCCTGTGGAGCCCTGCGGGTTCCGAGTCTGGTCAATTCCAGGACAGCGACACATCACGTCCAGGTGTCCGGGGCCACTGCCCTCTGTGGCCTGCAGCCAGGCCGGAGCCACAGGGCCTGTGGGAATCCCGGAGAACTGAGAGGTTCGGGTGTGTGCAGCACGCACTCGGGAGGCCGGGCCTGAGGGACTGAGGCGTGGATGTGGGAGACGGAAGGAGGATCTCGAGAAGACAGACGTGTCCTTGTCAGAGCGTTCGCACCCCCGGTGTCCACGTGGCATGAGAATGACCTTGCTGGCCTGCTTTGTCCTGGGACGTACACGCTGCGTGTCCAGCACAGCTGCTCGCTGGGGGGCGCCGGCCCCTGGGTCACCCCACAGTGGACACAGCATCAGGTGGGCGGGAAGGAGGTGCCTGGAGCAGCAGTGTCTGCAGGGAGACAGGGATCCCATCCCCACAGCCAGCGCCACACTCAGCTGATGACACACACGCACACCTGGACATCCCGGGAGCATCAGCGCTACGTAGAGACGGGACTCACCAGACGGAGAAAAGGCCAGGGGTCCCCCTAAAATATATGCTGGAGCTGATTTCATGTTTCCCAAGACCGGTCTCATAGATCATGTTGGGCATTCACCTCTTAGGGACCCAGAAAAAGCCGTCACTGCTGTTATCAAAGCAAAAGGGGTTAAACCCCTGAGGAAAACTAAGCACTGACCTCCATGACCTTGAGGGGTTGGGGGGCTGTCCCAGATGAGCCTCACAGTGTGATTTCTTTTTGGGGTGACAGAATGTTCTGGAATCAGGCAGCCATGACACTGCAGGGCCTTGTGGGTGAACGCACCAACCACGGTGAGGGGCGCCCTGGGAAGGGGTGACGGGGCAGGTGCGTGGGTGGAGGCCAGGCACGGTCAGCTGCGGAGGGACAGCCAGAGCTGCAGGTGGGGACCCACCAGTGTTTCAGCCACACGTTGTCGGGGTATACGGGTGCTGCGGGGTCCGCTGGCCTGTTCCAGCACCCCAGGGGTGTGGGGGTGCGTGGGTCTCCCACTGGGCGGGAGACAGGGATGGCCTGGCCCATTGCCCAGGCCTGAGCTCCTGGCCAAGCACGCTGCCCAGTGGGGCTCCAGGTGCAGCCCGAGGGGGTCCAGACACTGACCCCGTCTTTAACTGACTGTAGTAAGCAGGAAGGGCACGGAGCAGGCGCTCTGTGACCTGAGCAGACGGGGAAGGAAAGTCCTGGAGCCCGTGGTGGCTTTTCAGGCTTTTATTGGGATTGACCAGGCACATGGCAGGCAGGGGTGCTGGGGGGCTGGGGCTCCCAGCCCCCAGCAAGTCTTCACTCTGTCTGGGCTCCCCGGCCTTCTCTCCCCTTCTCTCTGCTTCTCTCGTGGTTCTCCTGGCGTCCCCGTGACGCCGCCCTTGTAAGCCCAGTCTCTCAGCCCAGGTGCACCCACTTACGCACGCCCACACCCCCCTCCAGGGGCCGCCATCAGGCGTGATTCAGGACCGCAGGGTCCATCATCCGTCCTCATGGCGGGAGGGCAGAGAAGCCTGATCCTTTTTATTTACCCCACACTGACCAAGCAGCCAGGGCGCCCCAAGGGGGAGGCCCCTCTTCCACTGCCAACACCCTGCTCGGTGCAGACAATGCTGGGCCCACGACCGGGGCTGCTCCTCCTGTGGACGCGTGGACGGCGGGCGGCGGGCCGCGGTGTGTGGGTGTGGGCGGGCGGCGGTGCCTGGTGTGGGGCAGGCGGCAGGTGTGGGGCGGGAGGGCACATGGTCGGCGCCTTCCTTTCCCTGCAAAGACACTCTGCGCTTGCCCACGCGCGGGCTCTGCTGGAGGCCTGTCCTTGGTCTGCTCCGGCTCCCAGGGCCGGCGGGAGGCTGGGCCTGCCCCTGTGCCCCGGCAGGACCCTCCGGCTCCGGGCCAGAAGCCCACGTGGGGGGCAGGGAGAGGCAGGGGGTGGCTGGAGCCTCCGCAGCGCCAGCTGCAATCAATTTTTCAGACACTTGAAGATAAATCCATCAAAACGCATTAAGGGAGCGCGGCGAGGGTGCCCAGCCGTGGGGCGCCAGGTCCCCCCGTCGCAGGAGCGCTGAGTAATGAGGGTGAGTTACGCTAAGGGGAAACAAACGCATCCTCGCGGGCGGGGGCCGGGGCCAGAGCCAGAGGGTGGGGGTCTGGGAGGCGCTGCCTGTGCTCCCTCAACCCCACTGCCGCCCCCTGCAGCGGCCCCCCACAACACTTCTGGGCACGTGGTTCCTGGAGCCATGGCTCCCCCGTTGTTGGCCTTTGGGGCCTCCCTCATCGCCCGCCAGAGGCGCTCCCTGGAGACCACACAGTTTCCTCCTGGCCGAGATCCCTCTGGGGAGAGGGAGGGACGAGGCTGCCAACCCGGGGGACTTTACTACCACTGTGTGGAAGCGGAGGGGGGCGAAATGCAACGTGGACGTGTCCATCCCCGTGGACTGCTTCGGAGACTCCGTGGGGACAATTTGGGACTCATCAGAAAGTGTCGTAATGAAAACAAAACGAACTTTTGCTCTGGAAACGGTCTCACAGCTGAAAAGGACAGAAGCTCGGGGTGGGGGTCGGTCTCAGCCTGCACCCGGCCCTGGAGGGAGGGGCTCCCAGAAGTGGCTCGCAAGGGCGGGGGGTGCAGCGGTTTGTCCCTGGGTCTGAGCTGGACAAGCCACGGAGGGCACGTGAACCCCCCACTGGCCCCCCAGGGCGTGTGTGAGCCTCTGGGGGCGGGGGGGGTGGGGGTAGCGAGGCGGTGCCCCCCCGGGTGGCGGGTGGCCTCATACAGCGTGATGGCCGCGGGCTGGGCCAGTGCCAAGAGGCTCTAGGCTGACCCCAGGCCCAGGAGCTCCGCCTGGTGTCCCAGAGGCCCGGGGCGTTGGCCTCAGCCCGCATCTGGGGGCTCGGATCTCGGCTCCAGCAGTGTTTGTGCGAGGAGCCTCCACTTCTCCAGGGGGTGCCCCCACCTGGAGCCCCCGGCCCCTCCTGTGGGCACTTTGTGAGGAGCTGCTTCACAGTGACCGCAGCACACAGCAGCCACCAGCAGACCTGAGGCACCACCTCCCCCGGCCTCACCCCACTTGTTTTGTGTTTGTTAAATTTTTCCCAAAGACTTTTTTTCCTAATTTGTGGATTCCCCAAGCCCCTTGTTGCTGTTTTGGCGCCCAGAGCTGCTGCTGGTCAAGCTCAAATGTAGAGGCAGGCGGGGCCCTCACCAGGACAACGTCTTGGCATGAGGGTAGGTGCTGGAAGCCGCGGGCAGACAGGGAGGCCGGGTGAGCAGGACCAGCTAAGCGTAACCAGGGAGTCGGCACAGGATGCTGTGATCAGCAGCAACAATGGACCCCGCCCCCGCCGGCGTGTGCAGATGTTTATGCACCCCCAGTCCACATCCCACCACGCATATCCCTCGACTTCTTCATTGCACCCCTCCTCTGTGCAATGTCTATGGTTCTGCTTTTCCGAGAACCCCGACTGGTCCAGCAGGATCACAGGTTTGGGGCGCCTCCTTTAGTGAATGCTGCCCCCCGCACACTGAGGTGTGGAGAAAGCTTCCAACATGCTGCCGGGGCCTGTGGCTGACTGTCTTCCCGAGAGACTCCTCATTGGGAGGCCAGTTCCTTTCCAGAACTTTCTACTAGGCCCTGCAGCTGGGTGGCACCCTGTTGGGGAGTCCCCAGGCTGTGTCCACCTGGGATCTCAGGAACCAGCCCTGTGCGGAATCACCAGCAGGTCAGCACACTGTACAATAGAAAATTTATTATAAATCTTCAGTGAATATAAATATCCCAGCGCCCACTGAGATGGACCAGCCGGCAGGATACGGAAGCACCACGTATGAAAAGGAGGGGCCAGGGCAGCTCCTTGGGGAAATGTTTGCTCTAGTTCTGAGGGGGTCACAACAACCGCCAAATCGTACCAATAAAACCCCCCACAGCAAGCAAGCAGGCTCCCTGGCGGCTGCAGCGCTTGGGTGGCACGGCGTGTTCGTGGGGGGCGGGGCGGGGGGCAAGGTGTGGGCCGGCCACCAGCCCCCGGCACAGCTGTGATTCTTTTAACAGGAAAAGCACTGAGAAAGGGGTTTAAATAGGACGCGCACTTGTGAATAGCTGAGAGAAGACATAAGCTACATAAGCACCTTAGCAGGGATTTTATTTCCCCGTGCTCAGAGGTGTCTCCAAGCAGAAGTGTCCACTTCTCCTGGCAGAGGGTGAGGACCGCCCCCTTGTCCAGGCACCAGGATCCGTGAAGGGCCGCTGGCGGCTGGGCAGGAAGAGCAGGCCCTGGGGCGGGGCCCAGGTGTGGCCCAGCTACCTGGTCGACCTCTCAGAGGGGGCAGGGCCGGCGTCCCTAATGGCAAGTGTTTGGTCCCGATTCCATATTTCTTGGCCTTTCCCTGTTTTCACAAAGCACCATGTATTTAGGGTTTAGCCAGCTCAGCCACGCCGTGTCTCTGACTTGATTGAGCTGACGTGCCAGTGCAGACAAGCCCTGCTTCTGTTCTGCAGAGCGGCCCGCTGTCTTCACGGTCCAGCCTAACGTGAGATCACTCACGTGTTCCTTGTGCACTCAGACTCATGACACACACACGGCCTTGGCGGAGAGCCCAGGGGTTTCTGGCTTGGATGCGTTCTGATGTAGACCGCGCAGCCCTTTTGTGCTAAAGAGGCGCTCCCTCCGCGGGGAGGCAGGGCTCCCTCCGCTCACAAGATGGATGCGGAGCACGTGCGGCAGCACTGCTCCCCGTAGAACTGGTGGCCGCACATGCCATGCTGGGGCACCAGCGAGCACCAGGGGACATGGTCTTCGCAGAGGGCATCTGAAAGGAGCAGACACTTGTCAGACACTGGCCCAGTCCCACGCTGCCAGCTAATGACTCGCTGGCAAATGAAGGTGACTCTGTCACGGCCCCAAAGCCCCCAAGGAGGCAACTCTTCAAACAGACCGTGTGGAATGTGATGTTTCTACAAGACCCTCCTGGGAAGTCCTCGTGAGCCGAAATCCTTTCCCTTCCATGCTAAGTGCACCCACTGGTCTTTGCCACCTGAGATGCAGGCCACTGGGGCCAAAGTCACGGCCTGGGCCCGGAGCAGCCGGCCACCAGCTCTCCTCCAGTCCCACTTCCTCAGAGAAGCCTGGCAGACAGGAGGGTTGTGGGTTGTTCAAACCACAAGTCACCCCGGGACTTCTGAGCCGTGGTGTTCAGCGCATACCCAAGAACATGGTGGGCTTTAACTTTGGGAAGGAAGGAGACTTGATTTCTAATGGCTCCCTCGAACACAGTAAACTGTCACGGAAAGGTGAAAGAAGCCACACCCCCTTAGAGAAATCACGCCGTTGATGTCATTTGGGGCGCAGCTCAGAACAAGGCTGCGTTGCTGGCTGTTTCATGGGAAACATGAAGAGATCAACAGAGGAAGCTGATGGAGATAAGCTCCGAGTTCTGGGGCTCCCTGACTGGCAGCACCTCCTTCTGCAGACACTTTAAGGAACAGCTCCAGAACATCCCCTCCCCAAAATGCAGGGTCCCCAGATACTTACCTTTCCTCTCTGTGATGGGGCAGAAGTGGGTGTTGCAGGCCAGAGAGGTGGGGGGCTTCTGGGTCAGGACGCAGCCTGAGGCTGGCCGGCTGCCCACCAGACACTGGACGGACCTGGTCTGCACTCCACCTCCACAGCTGGCTGTGCACTGAGACACGGGGGACAGTCACCGGCTGCAGGCTGCCCTCCCCCCGTCCTACCCCCAATTGTCTCTCCCCACGCTTTGGGCTGCTGAGTGTTACTGACGCATGTCTGTGGGGGAGACTTGTCCCGGCCCGCAGGCATGTAGCACCTCAGATTACAAGTTCCCTGCGCCATGAATGGGCTCCCAGGGGAGCTCCGGGCTGAGGGGTGGAGCCCAGGAGCCAGCTGCAGAACTGAACTCCTGTGGCTGCTGGGGCTCTTGGCTCTCCAGCCTTGATGTGGACCCAGGACCTGGGGGAACTTGGATGGAGTCGAGGACAGACACATGCAGACACTTGGAAGAGACATGCAGGTGTGCGGCCCCGAGGTGCTCGGCGGAGACAACGTGGCTGTTATCTTGGTTTGCACTTCATCTTGCACCCTGCGTCACAAGCAGGCCTGGCCTCTTTCTTAGGGTTTCCTGCCTGAGGCTTGTGGCAGGCTTTCAGGCCTCAGCGGCCAACTTCAGGCCAGAGAGCCATCTGGCTGTCCTGGGCACAGTGGGTCAGCTCACTGGTGGCTTTAACAGACAAGGACAAGGACATCGGGGACGTGCAGGACTTGGGCTGCTGGTCAGAACCCCCAGGACCGTGGGAAGAGACCCCTGTGTGTAGACGAGGGCAGCAGCCCTGGGCTGGGTTCCCCGGTTCGGCCAGTCCAGGAGCCGCCAGCCCTGGCCGGCTGCTGTCTCAGGACCTGCAATGATCAGACTCTGCAGAGTGACTCCCTGGAGGGACACACGACGGAGCCAGGCGAACGTCCTCACTGGCCCCCCAAGAGAAGCCGGGGCTTCCCTCTCAGGCAGGATGGCTGGGCCTGGGAGGTGGAAACCAGCACTGCAGCTAGAAGACATGTGGGGCGGACGGTTTCTATGACGTTTCCCCGTCTCTTTCCAACCCATTTCAACGAAGTCATCAGTAACCCAGTTTCAACAGGGCAAGAACAGCAAAGTCAGCGTCGCGGGCATGTCCACGCGCGACTCCTGGGCCACCAGCTTCCTCAGTGGCAGTAGCTCCACTGCCATTGTCACCTGCGTGAGCAGGCGAAGAAGCTCCATGCCGCGTTGAGGGGCGCACACGGGGTTCCGGGCCCCGGGGCTCAAAAGGGGCTCAGTGTGAGTTCCTGCAGGGACGGAAGCTCCCAGTCACATCCGCATCGGTAACCTTGGCAACGGCCCTGCCTCCGAGATGAGTTTCTTCCAGCAGCAGCAGTGGGGGCAGAATCCCACCCTTTCTCAACCGGAAATCAGGGCTCAGCCCCACCGTCGCCACTCTAGCCGGGCTGAGAGAACTCGCAGGAAGCTTGATTCTCCTTATCACCAGTTCCTGGGCTCGCGAGTGGGCCTCACCCACGCCGCCCCCCGCGCTGCTCTGGGTGCTACATGCTCAGTGGTGAGCAAGGCCCCTCCCTCGGGGCACGTGCACCCGACACTCAAAGTCCTGTCTGGGCCCAGAGCAGCCCAGCCTGTTAGCGGCGCCGCCCCCCACCCTGCCTCCTGCCTGGGTCCTGGTGAGACAGCCTGTGGGGATCTGGGGCCCCGTGTGCCAGCACTGAGGATGCCCCAGAGCAATGGGTGTTCGCACTTAGGCCGTTCCCGGGACCGATGAGTCTGAGCCTCCTGCCCCGGTGGTGCCCAAGCCACCCGCGTGATTTCGGCCGGCCTGGCCGGGCAGGCGGCACACCCTTAACTGTCGTCGGCAAAGTCACCGAAATCAGAAGAAGCCCTCAGAGCAAATGCTAGACACCCCATCTTTAAACTGTTGCAAGAATCGCAGTGTCTGGGGCAAAGCTCAGCCTGGCAGGGGCCGGCGTTGGCATCTGACGATTGCCCCAGGTTGAGGGCGCGGTCCTGGGTGCCGGCGCTTTCTGCAGACAGAGCTGTTACTCCCCAAAAGTTAAGGTCTCAGAATTTAACAGGCGAATCGCATTGGACAAAACCTCAGGCAGCTGATGCTAAAACGCTTCTCCGACAAACAGACCACAACACTGTGAGGGCTCCGAGGCCTGGATCCGAGAGGTCAGGCTTGGGCTTCGGTTCGATAAAGAACTTTGCTTGCTTTGTAACTCTGCCACGTCTCCCGAGTGAGCCGACGGCTGGACGCTCACCTCAGGACCTCAGTTTTCCTGCTGGCAGGAGGACGAGGACGACCCCCTCGCCAGGGACAGAGGCAGCGAGGCGCCTGCCTGGGGAGGGGCCCGGCCCTGGGCCCACCACCTCCTCCTGCCGCAGAGCCCTGCGCCTGGACCAACCCAGCGCAGTCCCCGGCCGGGCCAGCCTTCGACACTAAAAATCAACATGATTTGATGACTGAGTGGCCAGCGCACAGCCCGCGCATCAAGTCAGCCAAAACGACAAAACCCCGCGTGCCCAGCGCGGGTCTTCCCCTCCCACTGGAGCTGGCCCACCCGAGGCGCACAGGCGAGGGGCCAGGAGACAGCAGAGGGGCGTGTGTCTCTGACCCCAAATCCACCACTGTCCCAGTCCCCCGGGTGCCGGCAGACGTCTTGGGGAGGCCCTAAACGATTCAGTGACCTTGGAGACCTTCCTAGGAAAGGCATGCCCACACCCAGGGCCACGGGCTGCTGAAAAGGGGGGCCTGGCTCTGGACTTTGGGGTACATCGACACTCTGCCATCGAGGCCAGCTACCAACTCCCGGAGCAGGGGCTCTGGCACCCCTCTTGAGCCCCTCGAGCGCCCCTACCTGAGACCAGGGCGAGGCAAGCCAGGCGGCCCGCGGGGGGCCCGCGCGCACTGGGAGCCGGGGGCAGGGCAGCTGCGTGCAGGCCCGGTCCAGCTCCAGGAGCGGCCGCGGCAGGTGCGCGCACTTGTTGGAGGGCAGCTCCCGGTACCTCCCGGAAACGGACTTCTCAGCACATTTTAAGAATCTTCTCTGTGTCCCCCGTTCGCAGGTAACAGAGCACTGGAAAGCAAACCCACAAGACTGAGTGGAAACGTTCGCCGAGTGGTGGCCCTGAGCAAGCGCCTCCCGCGCCCCTGCAGGCGCAGTCACTGCGCACACCCGCGGCGTCCTCGGGCCTGTGCGTTGAGCAAGGCGTCGCAGCGCCTGGCACGAGGGGTCTGGAGGCCCGAGTGGCAAGGCTTTGGGGCACAAGGAGGCACAGGCGTGGCTCTGAAGCGGACCTCGCGTGGCAGGGCCGGGGGGAGGGGCGGTGGCTGGCTGTAGACCCCAGTGCTGGGGGGAGACACCAGGCTGCCTCGCAGGAGCCCCCACACTACCTGTGCCTCCACAGTGGCTGGATGCCCTCCTGCCGGGCAGGGGGAGACCCAGGGCCGCCAGCGTCCCCAGCCAGGACGAGTGGACTTTCCCAGACAGCAAGTCCACCCTGTATGTCCCCCTACCTCCCAGCTCCAAGTGTGAGCTGCCACTGCTGCCTGACACCCTGACCCATGCAGAGGGGCTGGGCTAGCACCAGAAGCTGCAGTTGCTGGCCACCAGGGATGGCACAGCTGCACCACTGGGCAGGCCAGGAGAGGCCCCAGTGCCAGGTGGATCTTTCCTGAGAAGTCACTATAGCTGCTCTGGGGCTCAGGTACCCCAGAACCCCACACCAGTGTGATGAATGCCCTTTACACCCACACTGGCCTCCTGGGCACCCACAGGGAGAGATGCTCCGAGGACATGACCGGAAGCCAGAGGAGAGAGCACCAGAAAGCCCCAAAGGTGACCACAGCCCAGAGCTGACAGCGGTGGGGGAGAGAGAGCCCCCGGCGGGGCTGAGGGAGAGGATGGGAAGCAGGGAGACCAGGAGAGGGCGCCCCGCCCTGGTCCACGCTGCTTTGCCTAGAACGGGCACAGTACTTGGGGCCAGGTGCACCTACCTGGGACCAGGTACACTCCGTGGGACCAGACTCACCTGGGGCTGGGAGCACCCCCTGGACCAGGTGTATTTACCGGGGACCAGAAGCACCTGGAACCGGCTGACACCTGGACTGGGCGGGCTGCCTGGGGGCAGCGCACCTACCTGGGACCAGGCCGACACCAGCCACTGCAGCTTCTTGTGCCTGTGGCAGTGCCGCAGCAGGCAGGCTACATGCGTCCTGGGCTTGGGCCGCGTGGCACAGCCGGCATCGGGCAGCAGCCGCGCCCAGGCATCGGGGTCGTTGCTCTCACAGACCACGGTCCTCTTCCTCCATCCCTTCCCGCAGGTCCGGGAGCACTGCATGGGGACGGGGGTCAGCTCCTGCCAGGAGGGCCAGACCCGCAGGTGTCCTGGGCCACAGCCTGCCAGGCCCAGTAAGAACCAGCCCTGCCGTCCACAGGCCCAGCTGCCCCCACGCCAGCCCAGCCCCCTTACCTCTGCCCAGGGCCCGGCGCGCCAAGCGGGCGGGCAGTTCTCTGAGCGGCAGGGCTGCTGGCTGGAGGGTGCGGGCTGCGGACACAGGCTGGGCGGGACCGGCTCCTCGCGGAAGTGTGCCCGCCGGGTGCACCGGACGGGGCGGCGCTGGGAGCCGCCCCCGCACGTCCGGCTGCAGGCGCTCCAGTTCCCGGTGGACCAGCTGGGAGGCGACAGGGCTTGGTGAGGAGAGGCGGCCGAGCCCGTCCGGGCGGCGGCACAGCGTTTCCCGGCAGCCTCCCCGCGCTGCTGATTTCAGCCTCATCCCAGACCCGCAGCTCTGCCCCAGGCCTCTCCTGGGCCCGCTGCTTCTGGCTTCCAGGGTCACCGTAGCGGCGGGAGGACACGGAGCAGGCGCTCTATGACCCGAGCAGACGGGGAAGGAGGAGCCCGCGGTGGCTTTTCAGGCTTTTAATGGGATTGACCAGGCACACGGCAGGCAGAGGTGCCGGGGGGCCAGAGGCTGGCAGGCTCCCAGCCCCCAGCAAGTCTTCACTCTGTCTGGGCTCCCTGGCCTTCTCTGGTGGCCTCTGCTGCTCTTTCGCTCTCGTTCTCTCTGCTTCTCTGCTCTTCCGCTGGCGTCCCCGTGCCGCCGCCCTTATAAGCCCAGTCTCTCAGCCCAGGTGCACCCACTTACGCACGCCCACACCCCCCTCCAGGGGCCGCCATCAGGCATGATTCAGGACCGCAGGGTCCATCATCCGTCCTTATAGCGGGAGGGCAGAGAAGCCTGCTATCATTTACTTACCCTGCAGTCACCCTTCCCTGCACCTGACCCCAGGCTTCCCGGTACCTGGGAATGACCCCTCTCGACAGTGTGAAATGGAAAGTCAGCTCTAAACGCCCTCCAGCACCAGGGCCCGGGAGGTGGGGTGGCGAGGGGCTCGCGGGCCAGGGAAGCTGCTTCCTCGGCTCTCGCTCTTTCAGCAAACAGCCTTCACCTGCAGGTTTCCTTCGATCACGAGGGGTCCGAGCCATCGGCTCCAAAGGAAAACGAGGCTCACGCTGGGTCTCAAGGTGTAAAGTGTAACTTAAGTCAGGGGGCTCCCCCCAGGGGCAGCAGCTCCCTTTCCTTGGAGCCTCACTCTTGGGGGGGAGGGTTGTCAGTTCCATCCAGTGGCATATGCCAGGGTCCCCACCACGGTCTGTCTTTTATACATAAGAAAGATTTAAAGGTTGCGTATTTCCCACTACTCAGGGCTTTTCTGGCATTTTTGCTTTAGGCTTTCTTGGGTGCTCACTCCTGCACGCATACTTCAAGTGATCTCCTCCAGGCTCCCGAGACAGCTTTCTAAGGATGCACCCAGCGGCCCGACCTCTGGGTGCTGGGAGCCTGGGTGGCAGCCACTGGGTGCCTGAGACTTTGGCACCTGGCCAGAGGGGGGCGCTGTAGGCCTGGGCTGAGTGGGACTGGGCAGTCAGAGGCACCAATCCGGCGGGTTTTAGGGGAGAAACCAAAGCAGCAGAAGGAAACAGATTGCGCCACATCACACCCGCCAGCAAACGGATGGGTGAAACCGGCGTCCACTCCACCCGGGGTCGGAGGCCCGGGCCCTGCCGGGTAGGAGGGCAGACACCATCGAAGGAGTTAGACGAGACTAGAGATCCACTGCCGGAGGCCCAGGGAGCGAGGGGATCCAGATTTAATTTTCCTTTGGGTAAATCTCCTGAGACCTACTCCTGCTGGCCAGGAAAAGCTTTAAACAGTCGGAGCCACACGAGAAAGCCAAGCATGGACAACCTCGCAGGGCACGGGGGCCACGTCCACAGACAGTGAGCTCAACCCTGGCCGCCAGGCCACGGCAGAGGCCGAAAGGCCGCCGTTAGCACGCACGGCCGCTCAGGGCAGTGGACAGCGAAGGGCTCTAATCAGGCTGTGCGAGCCGCTCTGTCCCGAAGAGGCCAGCACAGCACAGAGGCAGGACAGACACAAGTGAGCCTCACGCGCGCTGAAGACGTCAGCCCAGATATCGAAATGTATACGGAGCCACAAGAGGCGCTGACGAGCGGGGAGACCCTGAGGCGAGGGGGGACGGGACATCACACTGCGGACCTGACGCCCCACAGCAACGCGCTAACGCAACATGGTACCAGGGCAGATCAGACGCCAGGGGCAGGGGAAGAGAGTCCAGCCCAGCAACAGAGCCACGCACGTGTCATCCTGAGTTCAGGATAAAGCGGCCACGGCCCTGCGCGGGGGAGGGAGAGCCTGGAAATTGCAAAGATTTCATGCAGCTCAAATAACCTACTGAGCGGGAGAAAATATTTACACGTCACATAACCCAGGGGTTTAGCTAAGGTCTAGGAAAACATACAACTAACAGAAAACCAAACAACCCAATTAATCCAAGGCTCGCAGACTGGAACGGACAGCAGAGGCGACGCAGACGGCCAGAGACGGCCTGACAAACAGCCGCCATCGCTCTTCACAGAAGAGGCGCAGGTCAGCCCGCAGCAAGGCACCCCCGGCGACGAGAACGGAGCAGAGACCCCCCACAACAGTACAGAGAGGAGGGGGCAGAGGAGCCGGTGCCCCTGTGGGGGGAGGTGAGCCGGGGTGGCCCCCATGGAAATGGAGGTGCTGCAGCCCGGTCCCCCCAGGCCTGGGCGTCCAGCCACAGCGCGTAACATCACCTCGAAACCCACCTGCTCCGAGGCTGACCGTGCACTGTCCACAGTGGGGAGGACGCGGAGCACCCTGGCGCCCGCTCCCGGGGCTGAGCAGGAGGGTGTGGCCCCGCCGCACCGGGGGAGGGGAGATTCGCCACTTACGGGAGTGGAGGCAGCACCGAGTGACGCGTTGGAAAGCGAGTCACAATGACAGAGACAAATACTGGACATTTACACAGCAGACAATGCGAGAAATATTGTAAAAAAAAAAAAATTCACAAAAACTAGCAGATGCTAATAAAGTGAGGTCTCTGAAGTTAAGAGGGAGCGTGGAGGGAGACGAGGGCCAGGGGGTAGCAGGGACGGTGGGGGAGAAAGAAAAATAAATCAATTCCTCTGGCGATGCCCTGTCATCTCAAACAGCATTTCAAAGGCATCCTTTGCTGGGCAATGAAGGCATCGGGACACTTAAAACCCCCTGACTGCTGGAGTTGCACTGACATGTGGACGCTGAGGTAAGAAAGGATCAGGCTTCTCTGCCCTCCCGCCATGAGGATGGATGATGGACCCTGCGGTCCTGAATCATGCCTGATGGCGGCCCCTGGAGGAGGGTGCGGGCGTGCATAGTGGGTGCACCTGGGCTGAGAGACTGGGCTCATAAGGGCGGCATCACGGGGACGCCAGCAGAGCAAATGGAAGAACCACGAGAGAAGGCCGGGGAACCCAGACAGAGTGAAGACTTGCTGGGGGCTGGGAGCCTGCCAGCCTCTGGCCCCCCGGCACCCCTGCCTGCCATGTGCCTGGTCAATCCCAATAAAAGCCTGAAAAGCCACCGAGGCTCCAGGACTCTCCTTCCCTGTCTGCTCGGATCGTAGAGACCCCGCACGGTGCCCCTTCCTGCCACTACACATGGAAGTAAAAAAGGCGGCAGCCAGAGCAGCGGGAGGCAGGAGGAGGGCTGCCAGCCGAGCTCTGGGCCAGAAAATAACAAACTTCTGAGGAGACCCTGGTCTCTGCTCCGCGACCGCTGCACTCCCGTGACCGCCGCCAGAAGCACACTAAGAGCCGCCTTTTTAGGTCTCTTTATCCCGAACTTCTCCGGAAAGTTCACGACTGGAAAGCCAGCCACCCTCAACAGGAAAATGCGGCCCGTGGTCGCAGCCTCTCCCCCAACACCCGCGCTTCAGCCCCGGGTCTGGCCTTGAAACAGGTGGTGAAACCAGTTAACTTGGAACAAATTAACCGGAGGCTCTTTCTGGTTCTGGAATGTTGGTTAAAAATCTACACGAGCCTTGAAAAACACGACGGGTGTGCTCAGGGGGCACTTTGTAGATAAAAGAAAGGCCGCTTCAGCAGAAACCCCGGGAAAAGGGACAGACTCTGAGTCCACACGTAAGATTTTGTAGCCACAGGCAAGATGAGCGCGCACAGTCCTGCCCTCGCTGGCGGCTTCACGGGAGAGGGGTGACACGCCGGCCAACCCAGCCTCAAGTCTTCAGCAAACGCTCAGGTGAAGTGCAGGTGTGTCATCACACTCCTGCAGCCGATTTTAAAATCCGTTCCTTTGCTTTCCCTCTTTTGCTGACGTGCTTTCAAGGTGACATGAAGGCACTGTGCTCATTTGCTCAATTTTCCTGGCGCACATGAAAATCAGCGGGAGATCCTCCAGTTCGTTTGCTCCCAGTCAGCCTGTTTCGGCACCTGTTTCACGGCCAGATCCGAGGCTGAAGCGTGGGTGCTGCGGGGAGAAGGCCGGGACCACAGACCGCTTTTCCCTGTTCAACTTGGCCGGTTTTCCAGTCGTGAACTTTCCATAGAAGTTCAGTTAGCCCGGAAAGTTCACTGATCTTTTTCGAAAATTTAATAAAACTAGTTTTTGATGGGGGCGGGGCAGACAGCAGGAGGCGGGTTACAGTGGGGAAAACAGCATTTCCTGCTCCGGCGACTTTTCAGAGAGCAGGGGAGCATGTGGGGCCACAGGGTCCCCCTGGGGAGCTTGGTCTAGACCTCAGGACACCCTCTGCGGGCTCCCCCTTGGAGAGGTTGCTATGGAGACAGACATGGAGGGGGAGCCCCTGCTGGTTCCTGAGAGGGACACGCTGCTTTTGGAGAGACCGTCTGGGAACTTTATCCAGCTATCTGCAACATGTCTGTGCACATGCACACACAGACACGCACACACACGCATGCATGCATATGCACGTCCACACACATGGCCACTGTCTTCGTAGAGGGTCCTCCTACAAATTCCAGGTTCCTCCAAGGTCATCACGTGTCAAAGGCCAGGAACCAGGCTGGGAATTTGGCGCCTGTTGTCCGGTGGGAGAAACACGCCTGATTCCCAAGCACATATGCCGTGGGTCATGGGAAGTGCAGGGGCCCCCCAGCCCACATTTGCAAGCTACAGGCTTTGCTAAGCTCGTGAACTCTGAACACTGCCCAAAGCCATCTCGGCTTCTGAGCGAGTCACAGGTTCTGGTTAAATGAACTGCAAGGATCTCCAACTAACCCTGCGTGGCTGGGGGTCATTCACCGTGTTCTGCGGGCAGGCGGGCGGCGGGCTGCTGCCGTTTCTGCCCTACCTCTATGGGAAGTTGCATGATTTTTATTTCTTGATCTGCATTGTGGGGTGACTGCGGTCCTGCCAGCATCGATGCCCAGAACACACGCCCCTGTGTGTTCAGGCACCGAGTGACCGGGGGGTGCCGGGACAGGCCCAGGACGCCACCGGGCTGCGGGGAGATGGCTGCCGCCCCCCAGCCCTTCAAGTCGCTGCTTGGAGACGAGTTCTCAGTCAGGGTTCTGAACCGACCGAGGGAGGCGAAGGTGCTTGTGCAGCCGCCCCTATGCCTCGCCTGCCCCTCCCCTTCCCCGGCCCCCCTCGGTAAAGCCCTGCCCGGGAAGAGCTGCCCTGTTGGGGGGACGGCCCGTCCCAGCCCCCGTGCTAGTAACAGACACTTAAAGATACAGAGAAAGGTGAAATGTGGAAATAAGCAAATGGAAGCTTGTGTTGTGTTAGTTTCATGAGTTGGAAAATAATATGAGGGCCAAGGATGATCCTTACGTAGTGGTAACGGACAACCCTTGCCGAAACGATGCCAACCTGACAGCAGAAAGTGAAATAACTATAATATAACATAATATAAAATAATATATAATATAATATAATATAGTATAACAATGGTAAAGTGAAGTCACCAGAAGAAATTGAATAAAATAAAGACTCCTGGGATTGCAATCCTAACATAATGTGGGATTTTAAAATATTTCTCTCAGAAATAGATCTACAAGACAGACAGAAAATCGGAGCCTGTTTGAATAAAGAAGGAGTTGAGCTAATTGCCCTATAAATACTCCCTCCCACACAGAACACAATTCCTTCATCCCCATGGGAAATATTTATAAAAACCCCCATTCTTTGGCCATAAAGAAAGTCCTAAAAATGCTAGGGATGATATAATTTTAACTCTTGTCTCAATCTACTAACATCTGATACTTAAAAACTACCCTGACACCCCCAGATATTTGCAAATGCAAAACAGATTCCAAGTGACCACAGCTCTGACAGCAAAGCACAGGGGCCAATGGTATCTACACCTCGTGTTGTTTCTGGAAAGTTGTGCTTCAAAGTGAAACTTCTAGTTTTCAACAGATACTCCCAAAACACTGTGATTAGTGCGGCGCAGAGACCACAGGACGGTGACTGCAAGCAGGCGCCTGGCTGATGGGAGGGCTGGCCAAGGGGGGCCTGTGCGCGTGCTGGATGAGGCAGGGCCGTGCACAAGCCGGGATGCTGGTAGAATGGGTTAGGGTTTCAAGCCAGCACAGCAATTTTTCTTTCTCATTTAAGATGAGAGCAGATGTTTAAGATATCTCACGCCCAATTCTTCCGGGAGCCTCATCCACGCCCCCAGGTGCACCCCGCTGCACGGACTCAGCCGGTGCCCCTACCCGCTGGCTGCTGGCTGCTGCTGGTAAGCATCATGGCGGGAGCCAGCACTGCAGCTCCGAGACTCGGGAGCCCCGAGGACTCACGAAGTGTACCGCAAACAAGCTCACAGGACCGTGGTCTGTGCGGGGGAACGAGCCGCTCTCACCTAGGAGGACAGGCCGAGGCCCTGCAGGACACCACCCCCGTGACGGGCCGGGTGCTGGGGCTGCAGAACGAGGCGTCCACGGGGAACCTCCGGTCTCTGTAGCAGCCGGCTCTCGTGGTCATCCGGCCTGCGGGAGGGTGAACGCAGCATGAGGCCCGGAGCAGCTCCGGGAGGAGGCAGGAGAGCAAGGCGATCTCGCAGCAACAGGCGCCGCAGTCACGCCTCGTGTGAATGCCCTCGTGTTAGTGACTGGTCAGCCGGCTACGACACGCTGCTTTCCGGCCTGTCTTCGGACGTTCCCGGGGGACTTTCACCAGCTCCATGACGCGAGCATTTCCCTGGCCCTCCCCACGCTGACATCACCACGGTCTCACAGAGGCCAGCATCGGTCTGATGAAACCCACTAGCGCCTTCTCTCGGCTCCAGCGCTGGGAGCAGCAGCACTCACGACACCCGCCTGTGTCATCTGAATCAGAAACAGCCCAGAGGAGGCCGTGACGCTGCCCCTGCCTGGGGCAGGTGCCCTTTCATGCCCTCCCGACCCCCCAGGAGCAGGCTCCCTCTCTCTTCTGGTGCTGCTTCCCCAGCGTGAGCCTGCAATGCGGCTTGTCCGGCTCTATACCCAGTGCTTTTGGGGCTTCTGTGCCTGGAGGGAGGGACCCCTCTTCTACCAGGGCTGTTAACAATGTGATGATGGAAAAGCCCATGGAACATCCCGGGACCTGCAGGGGCACAGAGGTGGGCTGGGGCTACTGCGGCGCTTACAGGGGCCTTGGGCTGTGAGACATGGCACTGGTGCTCCCCGGAACTATAATGCACCTCCTTAGGCAAAGGACTAGGGGTTGGTTTTCTCTAGCAGCTCAGCGCGGGCTCCTTGGAGGCAGCCTGGTGTTTGCAAGCAAGCTAGTCACCCGTTGATAGGACAAGTGACCTAGGCATTTCCCCTGAAGCTGACACACATGGCAGCCCCGGGGGCATGGGTGGAACGGCCACCCCCACAGAACGCCCTTGGGAGACCTGATACTTCTCCACCAGATGCCGATGGGCAAAGGCAACTCCGCAAGTCATAACGTCCTCCCACAAAGGCGACCCTGCTGTTACTTTAATCAAGCCCTATGAGAACAGATGTGGTCAAGTGAATCCCACGTAATCTGTAGAAACCGTGTCATCTGAGTGTGGTGGGGTGAGATCGGAAAGCAGGGTGGTTATGAGGTCAGAATGTTAGGGGAAAGGATGTCCTGCGCACACTCCGTACGGGCTGTGTGGACGCCACCCCCACGCCATCAAGACGCTGGGAACTACACATCCCGGGATCCCCAAGGGGCGGTTGCGAGGCCCTGAGGGCGGAGTTAAGCAGCCACTTTCTCTGTAAATGAAACCAGCCCTGTGAGTGGGGTCGGGGCTCACTTGGCTCCTGCTCTTGGCCAGGCGGGTTTGGTCTTGGTGGGTCATTTGGGATCCAGGTCAGTGGAGCGGGTAGGACGCATTGAAGACTTTATCTCCCTCTTTTCTCCCTGAGTCGTACATTTTCTCCTTCCCCTTCCCTTGTGAATAAACCTCTGTTAACCCTTTGGGTGCGCCTGCAGTGCGAGTCCCTTTGAGCGTGGGGGTGAGGACCCACAGGCAGGCACCCCGTTTTAGAGCAGGGTTGCCCTGCAACAAGAAGAGAAAGGAAAGAGAAAAGGATGGTGAGGCGTCTCGGGAACGTAGCTCAGGCTTTCAAGACACACTCAGAGCCTTCGCCCTCTACCCTGTCCCCCTGGGTGTGCCCCTGGGCCCCAATGTCCCGGCACCCCACGAGCCCACCGCCAGGGGAGATGGAGCTGGACCTACCTCCTCCACAGGACGCGGAGCACTCGGAGCGCACGACGACCCACGTGTAGCTGGGCGGGGCGCTGGGCCCCTCCTGGGCGCTGAGCACTGAGTATTCCCAGGCCACGCCCGGCTTCCCTCCCTGAAACAGCAGCTGCAGAAGAAGGAAAACGAGAATGTTAAAGCGGAACCAGCAGGCAGGAGCGACTTTGTTTCAAACCACTCCAAGGGATAAAACCAACAAATAGTTGGTTACGATGATGACTAAACGCGCCCCCTCCCCAAATTTACAGCAACTTTCTAGACAGGAACAAACTCTCAGCTGGACTCAAGCCCCTCTGGAAGTGAGTACAGACACCCCACATTTCTCCCCGCATGGCGTGAGTCCCGCAGGGCGTCGGCAGCCTTGCCCCTAACCCAAGTGTCCCTGGGTGTTCCCTGGGGCCCCTGCAAATCCTCTCCAGCTGAGCCAGCCGGAAAGGGGACGGCACGGCGTCCTCACCCTTCCTGGTGGGCACCACAGGCCCAGGCCCACGGGGGGTGCTCCCTGTGGGGTGGGAGGGTCTGTGCACGCAGAGCTCATTCACCCCTGGGCCCTTCACCCCAGAGGAGACACCCTTGCGGGGAAGCCGGTCTCGGCAGCCGAGCGCCTGGGTCCCGGCGTGGTGTGTGCCCGTGGACACTCGAGGGACCAGACCCCTTTCCTTCTAAATGGGCCAGAGGCCCTGATTGGACCAGAAGGCTCTTTCTGGGAAACCTTACTGCCAAGCTGCTGACCGCAAGCCCGTGGACGCCCTCCTGGCTGGTGCTGCGATGTTCCGGGGGGCGACGCCATGGGCCTCCCTGCTCCCGACCCACCACTGGTCGTGGCGGTGACCATGCCGTAGATGCTGCAGGACAGGCAGAGCCCAGGCAGGCGGCCGCCCTGCGGTCACTCACTCGCTGTCCTGAAGGGCCTTCAGGCCTGGAGACTCTTCTCCCCTCGGCTGCTTCCTAAGAAGCTGCTCCACACGGCAGCCCGGCCAGGCCTGCTTCCTCCCCGTTACTCAGGCCAAGGGCACTCCAAAGGGGCCGGAGCGGGAGCACTCAGGGTTGAGGAGGGTTGGTGGAGGAAGGCCCCCGGAAGAGCCAGGAGGACCGGGGGCACTCGGCCCAGAGAGCAGGGGGGCACCTGGGGACTCCAGGGGGGGCTGGGCTGTCTGGCCAGGGGCTCTTCTCTAACCCACAGAGCCGGGGGTCAGGAGGGCACAGCCGCCCAGTCCCGCGGGTGGGAAGCCCCACTCAGAGCTGCCGGAGCCTCTGGGGCTCGGGGTGGGGGTGATCGTGTGCTCCCCGCTGGGCCTGGGGCAGCTGGGACCCCATAGTGGACAGGAACTGGGTTCCCAGCTCACTCCTGTTTCCCCAGACGCGGTGGAATGTGGGTCCCAGTACAGAGGGGACCCCGAGGCGCCTGTCCCAGGGACCCAAGGGAGGGGCTGCTGACAACAGGCTGAGGAAGACCCCAAGCGGGGGATGCCTGCAGCGCGAATGCAAACCTGCCCCACGAAGTGGAAGTGGACGGGAGCGAGTCCACTTGTGCCTGGCGTTGGCGGACCAGCCTCGCGCCCCGCATCCCTCCTCAGGTTGTGAACGTTCTCTGGGCACTTAAAATCAGGCCCAGCTGCCCAGAACCTGCCAACCGACAGACTCCCCCACGCCCCGGCCCGCCCCAGGGGCCAGGGCTGGACCCCGTACCTCCACGGTCAGCGACTCGTTGGTGGGCCCGGCGGCGGCCAGGCTCTCGGGCCCCGCGGCGGGGCGGCGGTAGTGGAAGGCGGTGCCCGCAAACGCGTAGCGGCCGGGCCAGTCCACCGTCCAGCGCCCGTTCAGGTAGTAGTGCCCGCGCGCGCTGCGCACCGCCAGGTAGGAGGCCGAGGCGCTGACCTCGCGGATGCGGATGCTGCGGGCCCCGGCGGGGAGGGCGAGCACCTGGTAATACTCTGGGGGGACAGGGCGCGGCCCTCAGCAGCGCCGGGACCCGGGGGAGGTCTGCGCGGCACCGGCTGCTTCAGCAGGCAAGTGAGGGCTAATGTCATTTTATGATTTTTGTTGGCGCGGAGCTGCCGTCATGGCCACTGTTCCCAAGGAGGGTTTAATTCAAGTGGCCCAGGAACCGCTTCCGCCCCGATCCGCCCTCAGGGGGCTGTGGGCTCCCTGGGGCGCACGCCCCACCCAAGGCAGGCGGGCTCCAGCTCCCCGCCTGCGCCCCCACCCCGCCCCACCCGGGCTCCGGGCCCCCCATGCACTCCCCTCTTCCCCGGGGCCCGGCCCTGGGCCCCGCGCTCACCGTGCATGCGGTGGGGCTTGCTGTACAGGCCCCGGTGCGTGGTGCAGCCCGAGCCGTTCCCGCGGCACACGCCGCAGGAGTCCTCCACGGCGTCGGACCCCAGGACATGGTCACATCCAACTCTCTGGGGGACCCGGGAGGTCACACGCGTTCATGGAAAAGAAGACAACGCAGGCCAGGTCACACCAGCAGGAGGGCCCCCCGCCCCCCGCAGCCACACTTCGCCTGCGCGGGAGACCCCGTCTACACAGCGAGGCGTCTACGCCTCCAGCCAAAGCGGTGACCTCTCCAGTGAAGGAGTCTGGTCTCCCCTGGGGTCCCGCCCGCTGCTACTCGCAGTCCTAAAGCCCCTCAGGTGTCCTGCTGGAGACTGGACGCTGCGGCCGGGAGAGCAGGAGCTGCCGGCCGCTGGGGCCTGTCCCTGGCCACATGTATGGTCCCAGCGGAGATTACGGGAAGGGCCGTGTGGTCACTGGCTTTGAATTTTAGGGGCACCCCAGGGGTCTGTGCGGTGTCGCCAGCGGAGCAGCTGTCCTCCCACCCCACGTTTGAAATGCTTTGAGCCAGGTGGTTTCAGAGATCTGGGGTCTTCGGAAGGCCATCGACCGGGCATGGGGTTGGGGGTGAGAACCCCCAGGCTTCTCCAGCGAAGGCGCGGAGCTGAGCAGGGCTAGCCCGACCCACAGAAGCCTCGTGCCAGGGGTTTCTGCCTCCAAATGAATTAGGCTCAGCATCTATCAGCGACCAGAACGTAGCTGTGACAGCTTTGGGGGCTTGACTGTGAAACATCTAACAGATCAGCTAGTAATTAGATAAAAGAGGAGTAGCTTTGAGCATTTCAATGCTGGAGGCATCGGAATCCAGCCATCTACCTGATCTGCACATGAAGCAAATTCTCGGGCCGGGGTCATTCAGTTTCCTGCCAGCCAGAGCCAGGACAGGCCTTGGGGTGCTACCAAACACAGTCCTGAGGGCCTTTGTGGGCCCCCCACTGCCCAGGTGGCTTTCCACGCTGGCCTCTGCCTGGGGCAGCTGCTGGGAGCATCCTGCCCAGCCCGCTCCTTCGTCCTGCCCAGCGCTGGGTGCCCGAGAGGGTGGCCCTCCTGGAAGCCGAGGCCTGGAGGTCCTCACTGTCCCAGGCTTTGCTCCCTTTCCACGCCCTGCCCTGCAGGCTGACCCCACCTGCTGGTTCCCACCCCAGTGCCTATTTCACAGGGACACATGATGAAAGCCCATCTGGGAATCCTGGCAGCTAAGGGGCCATCAAGAACCTGCCCTGGCCCCTCCCTGGGCACCCTCTTTGCCCTTCTGCCCTCAGCGCTCAGCAGTCCCTATAGTCCCAGGCTCCCATCACCATGCTCCCCGCTGCTTCCCCAACATCTCTCTACCAACTCACTCCAGTCCGGTGTTCCCTGGTCTGGGGAGCCCTGCAGGTGTCTCAGATCACCCCAGCATCAGCTCTTCCCTCTGCTAGCTCTGGGTGCACCTGCTGGGCACCTTCTGCATCTCAACATGTGCTCACCTGACCTTCCTCCCCGTGGGCTGGCACCTGCGGGGAAGGGCTGCCTGTCTGGCCTGCTGTCTCTAGCCCCTTACAGGATGCCTGGCACAAAGCAGACTGTCTGGAGATGTTTGTTGAATGAATGAACGGTTGTTATTACCTCACATATCCCATCTACACAAACATTACGGCTATCCTCCGAGCATGGGGTCCCATCTTTGACTTTATTTGACAAAGAAAAGAAGAAATCAAATCCTTCTGCGATACAGTAGAGTTTGCATAAGTCCTGATCTTTAAAAGAAATACACACACAAACACAAACAAGAAAGACACTTAGGCGCTGCGCATTTCCGCTCTGAATTTCAGACTCTTTCCTTATTCCCCGTTCAATGACTCCCCGCGGGAAACCTCGCTAAGACATTTTTCACGGTTGTCCCATTGTGCTGTTTTCCCCCTTGATGTTCGATTGTTATTTTGGGGGTTTCATTTGGAATGTTTGCTCTGCTCTGTTCTCTGCAGTTGTCAGCACATAGTAGGCACGCAACAGACCCCGCCGACGGCAACGAGGACGTTGCTCGCTGCTCGACCATTTCACCATGGTAATGAGCTACGCACTTGCAGAAACACAAGAGTCGCTCATGGTTTGCAGTAAGACACAAAATCTTACAGATAATACGTAACAAGGGGATGAAAATCATCACCAAGTGTCTGAATAGATAATGCACCTGAGGAAACGCACGGTATTTTAAAGGTGACGAGAGGAACGACTTTCAGATGAAATCCCCGGGGACATCCTTTTCTATAAATGTGACAGCTGGTCAGACCCCTGCCTGCCGGGACCCTCCGCCTCACGGACTTGTGATTCACGGAGCGAACACGCACCCCCCTGTGGGGTTCCCTCCTCCGCCCCGTCTTGGTGAGGAAGGGAGCAGTTGATGAAAATTTTGTCTGCCGTAGGTGTTTCCAGAGAATCGGGACTCACCCACCCGTTTTCTCCTTCTTGGGCCGTATCACTAATTCTAACTCTGAGGCCCGGGTTTACCTTGTGCTCCTTGACCAATGACGTTGCCTACGAAGGACCAACCAAGTCGGCAGGGGCACACGGGTCGTGTCTACCTTTCCTCCTGCCCACTTGCTTCTCTCTCCCTGGTTTAATTTTTACCGAGTTTAAGAGTAACAACAAAACCAAAAGTGCTAGTGGGACACGGTCTGCTCTTTCCTCCCAGCACTTGCCAACGTGCCCGGCCTCAGCGCTGCCTGGACAGTCTCTGCTCCGTGGAGGAGACCCGGGCGTGCCCAGGAGCTCCCAGCCCACGTTACAGTCACAGGCTCCACACACCCCCGCCCCGGAGGGCGGGAGCTCACCTGTGGTCCAGGTGAGCCTCTTGGTTTATAGTTCGAGAGCGAGACTTTTTGAATCCAGCCAACTTGCTGCTATTCAGTTTTCCAAAAGTTGCTATTTCTGTCACCCTTTGGCAATCCTGGGCGTCCAGGGAGTGACGGGCTTCCAGCAACATTGCCACCGACTCCGGGTCTGTGATTCTACGCCCAGGGGCACCTCATTTGAATTCTGATTCAAATGGGCCGTCTTGGCTCCACCTGACACCAGGACCCCCGCCCCACCTTGCAAGAGTCAAGGCGACGAGGCAGCGGCCCGGGGGTGCTGGAGACTCACCTTCCACGTGGGTGTAGGGCCTCCACCTGTAGTGCCGGCCCCGGAACCGCCGGCCGTCGTGCTCCGCACACTGCAAGGCCCGGAAGTCCACGCTGCCGTCCGGACACGCCTGGCCGTTGCAGAGTCTCAGCGAGCGGGCGGGGCCCTCGCAGAACTTCCCTCCGCGGGCGGGTCTGCAAGCGCCGCCAGGCGGGGTCAGCCAGGTGCCGGCCCGCTTGCTCTGCGGGGCCGGGGGCACACCGGACGCAGGGCCCTCCCACCCCGGACCGTCCACAGATCTCGGCTCAGGGGAGGACGGGAGGGGCCCTCGTGGTCCTGAGGCCGCGCCCCACACCCTTGGCCCCAGCGCCTTTGTGCAGGCGACGGGTCTGCCGGACACCAGACATGTTTTTTCCCACGTGACGGAACTGTTGCTGATTCTTAGTCGCGTGCGATCTCTGCACCTTTCTTAGGGTTTGCTTCTTATTTCAGGCAGCCCTGTGGTTGGGGCCCCCTGCCTGGGCTCACTGTGGGCCGGTGTCTTGTGACGGGCAGAGCCGCTCAGGCGCCGCGCGCCCGTCCTCCTGCCCGGTGCTTCTCGCAGTGCGGGGGGCGGCCCGGCCCGGCTCAGGTGGAGGCCGGCGGTGGGGGCTTACATCAGAGAAAAGGCTCAGTCGAGGGGAGGGGTCCACCTACTTGGGGTTCGTGCAGAGGCGGTCTCTGCGGGACACGCCTCCCCCGCAGGTCCTGGAGCAGGGGGCCCAGGGCGACCAGTCGGCCCAGTGGCCGTGGGTGGGCCGGGGCCCTTCGTCTCCGTACTGCACGCACTGCCCCCCGCGGCACCACTGGGGACAAAAATAAAAAGGTCTGACTCCGCCCAGAAGGACAGATGGGTCCACCCGGGCGCTCGGTCGCGGGGAGTTCGGGGATGTGGGGCCCCTCCCTGCATCAGCACGGAGCACGGCCAGGTCGGATGTTGGCCCCTTTTCTTTCCAAGCCCAGCAGCACTCTGGAAACACCCACACAGGACCCGCAGGAAGCGTCCTGCCGTCGGGGCTGCGGCACTGGCTCGTCTGAGTGTGTCGGGGACGCGCGTCCCCTGAGCCCTCGTGACAAGCTCTAGCCCGGGCTGCAGACGCAGCCCCGACACCGCACCTCGGAGCAGGCCACACCTCGGCACACCGGTGGCCATTCCAGGGCCCAGCCTGTCACCCGCGGCTGGGCCTGGCGGTCACTCCCCAGCACCTGGGCCCCGAGCCCGCGTTCGCTAGCAGTCGGCGGGGATGAAACGTCCCACACAGAAGCACCTGTGCCGACGGCCTGACCTGTCAGCCCCCTCCCTCCCTAGTTGCAACCCCGGGAGAAGGGGTGGAGGGTCTGCTTCCAGTGCTGGGGTGAATGACCCCCGGCCTGGGTGCAGTGCCACGTGCGTGAGGGGGACCCGCATGGGCGCCCAGGACGCAGGAGGGCGTGCCGCTCCCTTACCATGAGGTGCCCGCACAGCGTGCCCTCTGCTGCTGGCATGAGCTTCGTCTCGCACTTTCTCCCGGCCCGGTGGCACCACAGGGCCTTGCAGATGTCCTGGGGTGGGGGAGGCCAACAGCACAACCAACATCAACACGCCATGTGGTTGGCCCCAAATGCTTAAGGGAAAACAGCTGATAGAAGTGAGAAGGTGGGCCTCCCTGGGGGCGCAGGGGCTCAGCGTCAGCACTGTGAAGCTGTCCACAGCCACCGCAGCACGAGTTCCATCCCCGGCCAGGGAGCTACCCACATGGCACAGCAGACCTCTCCTGTCCCCCCGCTGCTCCCCTCAGCAGTGTGTTTCGGTGGATCCTCCTGTTCTGCTCCCCACTCTGTCTCTGATGAGTCCTCTCATCTCCCGCACCTCTGGCCTGCACCCCAGCTCTTCTATGCATAAATAAATAAATCTTAAAAAAAGAATGAGAAGCTGACTGAGCCGTGGACGCAGATGCGAGGGAGGCCCGAAGCCTGGAGGTCTGGACCTGGTCCCACTTAATCCCAGACTTTAGTTGTATTTACTGATTATAAATTCCACAAAATTATATTTCTAGATTAAAAAGTAAAATATGCTTAACTCAGACATTTGTAGACTCAGACATTTGACATTTGTAGAAAAATGTCAAAAATTAAACAAAACCCAACATTTGTCACTTATTCTATTTTGGAAGAAGGTATTTTTATTTATTAAAGCAACTGCATTCTAGCATTATTTGACTTATGCTTGGTTCCACTTGTCACTAACTTCTCCAAGTCTGAAGCCTCCTTTCTGAGTTAAGCATGATCATAAGCTGCTGGTCTGCTCATTCATCCCTCATCCACCCTCCATCCATGCATCCACCCTGCACCCTGCACCCATCCATCCATCACCCACCCTCCCATGCAACCACCCACCCTCCACCAAGCCTTTGACAAGACCCGGATATATCAGGAGGCCTGCTAGGCAGGGACCATGGCCCTGACCTGCCACCTCACAGAAGGCCCTAGGGGGTGAGTAGCGGCAGGGGGTGCTTGCCAGAGAGAAAAAAGGGCTTTGCCTGAAGGACAAGGGAAGGAATTAGAGAACAAAAACCCTCTGAGCCACCTCTTGAGCGCCAGGACTGTGAGAGGACAGCAGACAGGGCTCAGCAAGAAGAAATGAAGGGTTTGTGCAAAGCAAGGCAGCGCACATGGCGAGAAGGGAGTGAAATAGAACACGCCTGTGGGGTGTCCCCTGTGAAAGACTCTCCAGGTCTAAGGCATTTTACTCTCAAATCCTTTTGCGTTCAAAGAAATATCTTAGTAAAGAGCAAACAGTGGCATTCGTGAAATGATGGAAACTTCTGGAATGCTGGTGGGAGCTTCAACTGCACAGTGAAAGTGTTTCTTAAATTATCTGCACAGCTGTTCTGAATACTTGAACAAGTGTATTATTTCCAAGAAATTTAACGGCTGCCCCCACCGGCTCATTGGTGTCATAAAAAAAGGCAACCTCGCAAAGCTCCGACTCAGTCCTGCCTGAGGATGGTCTCCCTGAATCTGGGACAAAGACCCTAATTAGCCATGGTTCTGGGCACAGGACTCGGGCTGGGGCCGTGTGTGTGTGTGTGTGTGTGTGTGTGTGTGTGTGGCTGGGTGTGTGTGTGTGTGAGGCTGGGGGTGTGTGTGTGTGAGGCTGGGTGTGGGGGGCTCCCCGCTGTGCCACAGAACCGGACACTAAGGCAATCACATTTCGAAGTGGCTCTGGCATCCTGGGCTCCAGCCTGCGGGGTCAGCCTCCCAGCCCCCAGCCCGCGGAGGGCACAGAAAGGCACTTGGGAAGGCCCGGTCGAGGGTAATGCTTCAAAACGGAGGGTCAATAAATGGCGTTTTGGGATAAGAAAACCCGAGAGGCGGGAACAGCAGCTCTGTGCTACAGGAAATGCCAAGGACGTCCCCTGGGTTCTGGGAAAACGCTGTCTCTCCTGGGGGGCCTTCCCGTGGCGCACAGCGTCAGCCCCGCCCGCCTCCCCCCCCGCCCTCATCGTGGGGGTGTCCCTCGCGGGGCGTCCTGGGAGGAGCTGCTCCGTGAATGTTCATCTAGGGAGTGTGATGTCCGGGAGGGGTGAAGCTGCCACTTCCCGCAGGCCCTGCTGCACCGGGGGAGGTGGGGGGGTCACTGTCTTCTGCATCCCATTTGGGGAAAAAAGCAGTTAATTGGCCAGGCCACGCCAGCGGAAGTTACTGCTGACCATCAGGAAGACCGAACGACGCCGTCAGCTCTCTGGAACTGACGCCCACCGGGACCCACCGACCTTCCCTGTGCCGCGACACGCTCCGGCCTCAGGGGGCAGCCTTGCCGGCAGGCTCGGCATCTGCGGGTGCCCGGGTGCCAGGCGCCGGGCGAAGGGCCCTCTTCCCGCCTGCGGTGCCCACACTTGCCTTTTTGAAGTCCAGCATGCAGAGCCTGGCTTCCTCTCCGAACTGCCACCTGCACTGGGCGTTGGCGTCGTACAGCTGTCCCGGCAGCTCCTCGGGGTACCTGTAGGCCTGCACCGGCTTCGGCGGGTCGGCCAGGCACACCGCCTGGGCGGAGCTGGAAGGGGGCAGGCAGTGCTGACCGGCCGGGGGCACAGCCAGTGCAGCCGCTCCTCGCGCACAGGGGACGGGGCCCTGGGGCGAGGCGGGGCCTTCCTGCATCACGTTTATCTTAATCCTACTGGAATCAAGGGGCCGCGTTTCCTGAAATTTTTCGGGATGCAGTTTGCCTCTTCGAGGAAGGCGACCTGCCCATCCCGTGCCCCACGCTTTGGCCTTGGGGAAGGTGGACAGAACGGTTGAAAGGGACGCCGGGAGCTCGGATGCCTTCTGTGGCTCTTCTCGCCAGGACCCAGCCAAGGTGGGCGTCATGAAGGCACAACACAGGCATCCTGTTCCAGACTGGGTCCTCTGCCCCCCCCCCACCAAGTTGCTCAGCTCAGGGGTGCTTCGGGAGCTACAGTCAGCTGGGACTTGCTTTGCTTTTCTGAGGTGAACATGCCACGGCAGGGCAAGATGGGAAGTGACGTGAGCTCCTCCCAGCGCGCCCCCGCCTCAGCTCCGGAGAGCCCCACAGGGCAGGGGGCTGTAGGGTGGCAGGGACGTGGTCGGGAAACAGCAGGGAAGGGGGTGGAGTGTGGTGTGAGCACACACTGGGTTACCAGCCGCAGCTGCGGCCACGCTGCCCCTGTTGCAGGGGGTGTAAACTACGGGGAGAAGCCGCCAGGCCTTGAGATGGTGAGACACCCGACAGGGCCCAGTAAGACTCCAGCCCCCCTGAAGGCTGGAGCCCCGAGGCCTGATGCCAGATGTGGCTCAGAGGAGACGTGACCAGGTCTGGAGGGCGAGAGGGGGAGGCGGCAGGAAAGGGGAGAAGGGAGCGAGCCACGGCCGGCTGGGGTAGGACCCACAGAAATGCTCGGAGGCAGCCCCAGTGGGTTCCAGGAAGGAGGCTGGATGTGTGGGGCGGCCGTCCGGGCCCGCGGTGTCGGGGCCTAGCGGTGGGGGTGGGGGGTGGCAGGAACCGGCTCTCAGCCCAGAGGCGGGGAAGGCAGATGTGCCCTTGTGCTGCCCGCCGTGGGTGCTGCCCGCCTGGCTTCTCCTCCCGCCCCCTGGGCACCGGCGTGGGGCAGGGCGGGCCTTGTCCACTGGCCGGGGGACGGGGCGCCCCGGGTGTCGCTGGCACACAGGCACACTGAGGAACTGTCGGTCAGTGAGTTCCCGTTTGCTTTCGTGAGGACACTTGCGAACCCGCTACGGCAGGCGCAGGTGGTTCTGCACACACGCGTGAGCATGTGTGTCACAGACGCGCGGCCGGCGTCACGGAAACGACGTGCGTGTTCAGAGTCCACGTCTCCCCGTCGGTGCCGACGCTGACGGGAAACGCCTGGACGGACAGACGTGTGCGGCCACACGTGGTCACGCCCCCCGCCCCCAGGCCGGCCGGTGAGGGGAGTGCGTCCGGTGAGCCCCTTCCCTGACACGCTGCTATTCGCCACCTGCCATTACACACGGCCCGGCCCTGCTCGGGCTCTGGACGCCCCGGGCCTAATGTCATCGCTCAGCCCCCGCCGAGGGGTCCTCTGGCTCCGCGTCTGCGACTTTCCCCTGGTCTCCACTTTCAATTTTCATTTGCTCCTGTCTCCACGGACTTCCAGGGCTGCTGATCATTTGGTTCATTTTCTCAGGCCCCCGCGCCCCAGAGTCCCGGGACAAGGTGGATTCATGTGTTAGTTTTTTCTGAGAATACGTGATGGAGGCGAGAGCGCCAGTGCTCCTGCTTCCTCTGAGGAGTCTTCGAGTCCCTCTCGGCCCAGCGGGCGGGCGTATTTGGAGCCCGGGAAGCGGCTCGCCCGCCTCCGCCCCCAGGGCCGGCGGGGACGCGGGCCCGTGTGCAGCCGAGTGCAGCCGTGTGCGGCACGACTCTCCCGCGTCTGGCAATGGCACGTCTTTCTGAGAAGGAGCGTGTCCGTCCCGGGAGTGAGAGCACGCCGCCCCGGGGCCAGGGAAGCAGCTATTTCCAAGCCAGAAGCACAGGCTTGAGTCTGGCGCGGCCGGAAGGAGGGCGGGGGGTGCACCGGGCTCGGCACCCCAACCCCCGCCCACGGGGATGCTCAGAGGCGCGTTCCTCCGAGGATGGCTCTTCAAGTTCCCTCTTTCGCTCACAGTTTCAAACACGCTGTCTTTTTTCAGGGTCCACCCTTCCCCCTGCAGCCCTAACTCAATTGGCGCTATCACAAAAATTCCTGCGAATAATTCTTAACATTATAAGACTTGAGTGAGATTAAGGTTTCTCTAGTTCAGTTTTTTCTCCTAATCAGAGCGAGACTGTCCCCGTGCACCCCACCCGGGGGTGGGGGAGAGGCAGTGGGGGGGTCAGCTGTGCTTCGCCCTCTGAGCATGGACAGAAGCCTCCTAGATCCTCCTGGCGGCCGGATCTGCTTGGTCGTGGACGTGAGAGGCAGAACAGCGTGGCACGGCACGCCGCCCTGTGAGCGCGGGGTGAAGGGCGCGGGCCTCAGCCTGCAGGCCTGCGTGCCCTGAGGAAGCGCCTGGCCCTCCTGACCCTCCTGACCAAGGGGCCACCTCAAGACCCCACCAGACAGGAGCCCCTTGGGCAGTTCTGCTTCCTGGGCTGCGTGGTCAGGCTGGCTGGGTTGACTGGCACCGCCACCTGGGCACCAGGCGGCACGCGGGTGCAGGGCCCTACCTGAGGAACTTGCGCAGGTACTGGCGGCTGCAGGGCGACCAGGAGAAGACCCCGTTGTGCCCAGCCAGCGCGGGGGCCATGATGCTGCCCCCGGACGTCTTGCACGGGTTCCCCTCCCCATCGTGGGCCATGCCGAAGCTGCGAGAGAGAGAGAGAGACAGACAGACAGGCACAGCTCACTCAGAACCGAGCAGCTGTGGTTGGCTCCACCCGACAGGTGCGGGTCAGCGTGCGGAGGCCCCGACTTCTGAGGCCCGTCAAGCAAAGTGCGCGATCCGCCAGCCAGAGAGTGGGGACGGCCAGTATCCGACGCCCCTGCAGAACCACTGCAGACAGACGGGCGGACGCCTGCAGCCAGGTGTTTGCATCGCGGAGACGTGTCTCGAGCGCGGGGCAGGCAGCGCCCTTGACCTTCCTGACGAAGCTCAGGCTGCTCCTGGCGCCTCCTCCTCCCTCTACCCTGCTCTGCTGTGGGGGCTGCCGCTTCCCAGGGCTTTCAGGGAAACAGACCCCAGGCTGCCGGCGGGGCCTGATGTGTGGCACAGTCCAGGTCACCACTGACCGCAGCGACTCTGGGTAGGGCTGGCATCTGTCCCCACGCCCCCCGGTGCTGCTGCAGCACCCGCCAGTCCGCACAGGGGAGCCTGCGTCAGCCGGGCAGGGCGGGAGGGACTCCTGGGTCCTGGGCCCGCAGCTCCGCGGAGCCGGGCACCGCCTGGAGGCGCAGCTGTCGCTGGAGTTAAGCAGACACCGGGCACCTGCCCCGGCTCAGTATAGGGGACATCTGAAGCAACAACACCTCTGAGAACTCTCAAAAGTGTCCCTTTGGGGTGTTCAAATCCCCGAAGGCCAATCAGCACCCCCTAGTGTCACCTGAGAAAACTGCAGCTCGCTCCTAGGGGCCCCTGGGCCGGTGGACCCAGCCGCTCGCTCCAAGCGTCCTAAAGCTTTGTCTGCAGCAGCCTCGGCCTCATCTTCACGACCCCAAGGAGCGCAGCTCCCGCCCCGGGAAGGGAGCAGCGGGCCGGGGGCTCAGCATGGTCCTGAAGACAAACGTTCTCCTGGAGGGACAAGCTGCCGGGGGCCTGGGGTGTCTCACGCCCCCTGCTCCCCTCTCCCCATCACTGCGGGGCCTCCTGAAGAGCAGGTCCCGAAAGCAAAGGTGGACAAGGTGGCGCTGGTTTGGGGACGTTCTGCGGCCGGGAATCCCCTGATGGTGGGGGGAGGGTCGCCGGGGTGGAAGACACCAGGGGGCGGCGGGAGACTCTGTCCTCACTGAAGCAGAAGACACACACGTCCCACTAAACAATCCTCCTGAGACTCATTTAATAGCAGCTGTAAAAGCAACGATCGTCGCCGCTGCCCGACTTCCAGAGACGGGCATTGTCATCCCAACGCCGCCCGCGCCTTCTGACCAGCCGCCCCGCAAGCCACAGGAGTGACAAGAGGGCGGCCGGGAGAGCCGGAGAGGCAGGGCCAGCGAGACCTGGCCGCGGGCCGAGCACGCGTGAGGCCAGAGCCGAGCCTGCCTGGCTGCAGCCCTGGCCGCCTCTGCAGGGCTCCCGCTGGGTACGAGGTGACTCACCACCCCGGGCCATCGGCCTCCGCCCGGCTCTCAAGCTCTATTGAAAGCAACACCCCAGGGAGACCAGTGGCAGAGGACACGGAAGGCCCTCCCGGCGGGCCCCGCCCCGGTGTGAGGGAGACACACCCCGGACCAGGACAGACGAGAAGCCGGCCGCCACCCTGGCTCTGTCCGGAGCAGCCCTGCCTCGGCGCCCGGCGTGGAGCTGCCGTGCCTCAGACTCGCTCAGGGACGGTGTCCCCCGGGCGCCCTGGCCAGCCGGGCCTCCGCCAGGCACCGGCAGGGAGAGCCGCGGGGGCAGAGGAGGCTGGCCTGGCTCTGCGTGTGGGTGTGTTCTCAGACAACAGGGGAGGCGGGAGCCCCCCACATCCCAGCTGCCTGCGCCCCAGTGTGTCGCTCCAAATCATGCAGAGCCCAAGTGTGGGGCCCCTCCCTCGGTTGTGTCCCCACCCCGGCCCCGTGCGCTGTCTGACTGCTGGACAGAGCCCTGGTGAGCACCCCGGGAGGCCCCGGCGCCCCGTCGGGAACCACAGTGGATCTGCCCATCTATGGACACTCCCCGAGGCACACGGGCCACCGCGACGTCGCCAGAGCATGGCCTGGGCATTCAGCACATGATGTCACCGCTCGTCCTCCCCAATCCTTCCCGGTCACTCAACGTCACGAAACTCATTTCCTGCCGGTGTGCCTGGGCCACACCCTCGCTCCCACGCCCCTGCGGCGGCCAGAGGGACCGAGGACTCTCGGGGGTAGATGTACCAGGAGGGGCCTCTGCCCCCCAGGCCCGAGCACCTCCATCCTGCCACCTATCGCCCTGCTTGCAAGGAGAAACACTTTTTTCTTGTTCAAAACACTCTTTGCCCATCTCGACCCGGTGGAGTTGGGGGTCCTGACACCCGACTTCTCGGGGCAGAGCCCGCAGGTGCTGAAAGTGCAGACACCGCGGGTGGCCGCTGGGGGTCCTGCCGGAGCCGAGCTCACCGCAGCCTCCGGGGCCCTATCTCGCCGCTCATCGGAGCTGATTTGCCCCCCGCGACGGAAACATTTCTTAGCTTGATTGTTTAATTAAATTCGGGTATGGTTGAGAGGACAGCAAGAGCCCCATGTCACTGGAATAATGAGAGTTTTTGAAGTTTTAATTCCGGCAGACGACTACAACACGCCGATGATTTAGCTGAAAGCTTTATAAGCCGGCATGCAATTTTCTAGACGCTGAAAAAGTCAATCATTACCTGGAATGATGCGGGATCAGTAACTGGATACGAGGCTGCACTTTCAAGCCACCGGATCAGACGCAGCCAAGGTCTGCAGGGCCTCGGGGGACTCCAGCACAGCTGGGCAGCCGTGTGCACACACAGTCACACACACGTGCACATGGAGCACGGACACAGAAACACGCACACACGTGCACACAAACACACACGCACAGCCACACACGTGTACATAGAGCGCACACGCACAGCCATACACATGTGCACAGAGAGCAGTACACACATGCACACAGAAACACAGTGCACGTACGAACACAGACATGCATGTGCACAATACACCCACACACACGTGCACACAGAGATTCTGGGCAGGCCAGTGACGTGAGCCCCACGTTCCAGTCTCAGGATGAAGAGCTCAATTGTGTAAACGCCAGATCACAGACCTGCCTTTATCAAGTCATTTCACAAGCAAGTGAGGAGTGAAAAGCAACAACAGAATTCCTGGCTGGACGTTTTCCAGGAGGAACCCAGGTCGGGGCAGCAGACACCCTGGCCTGGGCACCGCCGGCCCTCACCAAGACAGGCAGCGTGGGGGTCAGGGGCGGGGAGGAACACGGAGCACAGATGCTCCCCGAGGCGGGCGGCCTCCAGACCGCAGGAGGCCAGCCCTGCACACCCCGGAGGGACAGAGCCAGCACCACGGGAGAGGCTGACACCAGCCTGATGCCCGAGGGCGCCGTGCCCAGCTGAGCCGAGCCCCCGCCCTGCCTGCATTGCCCCGGCGCCCCTGCCTCAGAGCCCACAGCACTGGACAGCGCCGACGTGGGAAGCTGCCCAGCCCCATGTCTGGTCAGCGCCTGTCCCGAGGGCTGCTCACCCGCCAGAACATCTGTTCAAGTGATGGGGCCACAGAGGCGTCAGGCTACAGAGCAACAGGAGCTGGCCCTGGGGGCTGGCCGCGCCGTCGCCAGCGGGAGTCCCTGGGAGAGGAGCCGCCCACCATGCCCAGAGGCCGGGCAGGGCAGCAGTGTCCGCGTGCAGAGGATCCAGGGCAGGGCGTGGGTGCGTGTGGGCACCACCAGGCCTCAGATGTAAAAGGACCACCTGGGCGGTCGGGCCTGCCCGTCGAGGACGTACTGGGCGGGTGTGGGCTCCCTGCGCAGACGGGCCGACCGCCGCAAGCGGATGCCGCCTCCCTCCGGGACAAGCACCTACTTGTGTCCTGACTCGTGGGCGATGGTGAAGGCCAGGCCAAGCCCCGTGTCCTCGTTGACCGTGCAGCTGCGGTGCCTGCTGCACATCCCGCTGATGGGCGCGAAGCCTGCAGCAGAGAGCGAGGGCCTGCTGCTCGGGGCCCTCCCTGGGCCTGCCCCCCCCCCCCGCCCCCCCCCCCCGGGGCCTCACCCAGCGTGTCACACGGCGCATTCTTCCAGGAGCAGATGTCCAGGCCGGTCAGCAGGATGGCGTGGTCGTGGCGCACCCCGTCCCTCCCCTGCAGCGCAGACTGCCACCGGCAGAAGCTGGTGAGCGTGCGGTCGGCGTGGTGGCTGATCTCCAGCCCTGGCTGCGGGGCCGCACGGGGGACGTCACGCCATGGGGCCCCTCGCACGTCGCCCCGCACGGCCGTTCACTCGGGGCTCACGCACACGGGTGGGGGGGAGGCGGGTCAGCAAGGCACCCACTTTCTGAACTAAATCCAGGGGCCTGGACACGTGGGCGCCCGGGGGTGCTGCTTATCCCATGCCAGGCGGGCTGCGCGGCGCCCAGCTTGTCACCGGGTCAAGCTGGATTTCTAGAAACCGCCAGGGACCAGAAGGGAGCTCTCCGGACACTCCCCCGCCTGCGGGCCTGGGGCCGACAGGGCAAGAGGCCGTCAGAGAGAAGGATGCTGGGCCGCAGACACGCTGGGCGAGGGGCCGGTGGGCCGCAGGGGCTGAGGGGCCTTCTCCCTAGGCCTGTCCCAGCCCCTCAAGGGTCTGCAAGCGGGGTGGGGGGCGCCCTCCCCTGCAGGAGTGCCGAGGCCCTGATAGCCAGTCCCGTGACTGTGCTGCTCGCTGTGCCTTCCCCGGAGACTGGGCCTCCCCAGAGCCCGTGTTTGTCTCCCCGGGGAGCGACCATGCGGCTCAGAGCTCTTCCCAGCACCCCGGACACACCTCGCATTCCTGGGCCAGACTCCCCGGCTCCCTGGAGCGCTGCGCTGACTAAGGCCGGCACAGGTGTAGATCAAAGGATAACCCCGCACTCTGCCTGGCCCGACTCCAGGGTGGGGCGTTTGAATACCGGGAATAATTAACCTGTCACCAAGCAGCCCGAGAGCTGAGCCCCTGACCGTCGCTTAGACTCAGGCCTGCTCGTCCCCCGCAGGAGACCGGCGCTCTGGACGTTTAGGCAGGAGGCAGCTGAGCTCTCACGTCTCAGCCTCCCCGTAAAAACCCTCTGTCTCATATAAGTCAAAACCCGCGGCTCACAGCTGCCGGCACCAGCGGGGGTGGCCCCGGACCCGGGCCCAAGGCGGTCAGGGCATCTTGCCCACGCCCCGCTGCCAAAGGCGCCCGGGGTCCTGCTCGCTCTGGGAAAGGAAAAGCCGGGGGCTGCAGGCGGGGAGGGTGAGGCGGCCGATCCTGGGGCCGGGGGCTGGAGAGTGAAGCAGGGCGGAGCGGACGGCCCAGCTGCCTTCCAGGCTCGCCCGCCTGGCACCCTCAAAGCTCTTCACCTTGCAGCTCTAGCGCGTTTCCGGCCCACATGCTGAGGGGAGCCCTCCTAGACCACTGTCCCTACAGCCATTGAGAGTGTCCTTCCTGCATCAGCCAAACGCCACGCACACTAGTCAGGCCATCGCTAGAGGAACCGACGAGAATCCCTTGCCCTACACACAGAAGGTTAAAGACAGGCCCCTCCAAGGGGACCGAGGGCCTACAGGACAGTTACAGAGGAGAAGACGCTCCGTTCTGCATTGTTTTTCTGGGGAGCGCGCGGAGGTGCGGGTTCGCAGAGATACCTGCTCTTCCTCCAGAAGGATCAGACCCACGACGGCAATGTTGATGTTCCCGCCGATCGTCCCGTCCTTGAACAAGGCGGACACCTGGAAGAGACGGGCACTCACGTCGGTCTTCAGCCTGGGGTCCCCTGGGGTCCTGCCGCCGTGGCCCCCCGTTCTCAGGGAGACAGTGGCACTGGGCTCGCCTGCCGGACGCACAGACTGAGGACGAGCCGACGTCCAGCCACACCAACCGCTGACTCCTCGTCACTGGAGTCTGGGAGGGAAACACTGGGGTTCGGGGGCCGTACCTCAAACACCAGAGGAGGGAGGCAGGGCGTCCAATTGAGGGGGTCCTTGTTAGAATAGAGGGAGTTTTTTCCTGGCGCTGCTGACACCGTGAGCGCGGCAAACTCCCCGCGAGGGGCTCCAGGAGCCGCCCAGAGAAGCAGGGAAGAGACCCAGAGGGGAAGGAGCCACGTGGACAGAGGAGGCGCCGCGGGAGCGAAGCAGGACTCGGGGGAATCGTCGGGGCCATGGCCACGGACGGCGTGGGGCGGTGGCACCTCGGAGGGGCCTCACGGCACGGGAACGGCTGCAGGGGACGAGCTGGCCCGCTGCCTCAGCCCCCGGGGCCCCCGCCCGCCGGCCCCGCCGGCCAGCAAGGACACCGCGCGATGACCAGGCGCCGCGTGAGGCAACGAGACGCCCGTGGGGCACTCTGCTCCCGCAGCAGCGGCTGCGCCCAGTGTGAAAATAGCGTCATCGCTACTGCTTGCAAAACCACTTTGGGACGGCAGACGCCTCCCCCCCTGCAGGCACCAGCCCTTGCCGCTCGCTGGGGGCTTCAGCTGAGGTGACGCCGGGCCGGTGCTGTCCGGCGATCTCAAGGGAAGATAATGCAGAGTCGACACTTTCGCACGGCTGTTGGGACGGGGCGAAACTGCTTTCAGACCCCAGAGCACAGAAGAAAAAAAAAAAACGAATCTAAACCTCTCTGAGACTCGCTTTCCGAAGGCAGAGCCGAAGCTGGCGGCGTCTGAGCGAGAGGCCCAGCCGGGCAAGCGGAAGGGACCACTTCTGGGCGGGAGAGGCGGCCGCCCAGGCGAGGGCCCCTGAGAGCCGCGGCCATCAGAGGAGCGCCCGCCACGCCCCTCCCTGCCCCTGCCCCGTGACAGGAAATGAGCCTCGCCACGTCCACGTCCACGCCTTGCCCTCAGCCCACGCCTCAGCCAGAGACTCCACCCCTTTGTTCTCAGCCCCGGCCCCCGCCCCACGTAACCTTACTCCCTTTTCAACCCGGGAGCTGGACGTGAGCGCCTCCTGCCTCTCTGGCCTCGCTTTGCAGCAACAAGGCTTCCTCCCTCCCAAACCTCCGCCACGGAGTCCCTGGAGCCGGAGCCCAGCTCCTCGTGGGCGGCAGGCCCAGGCCGGTCACGCTCCCCAGGGAGAAGGGCACTCTCCCCGGGCCTCGGCGCCGCGCAGGCTTCCGGTAAGGGAAGACATCAGTGTCCACAAACCCCGACGGGCTGACGGGGTCAGACTCTCCTGCCCCTTGATTGTCTGATTCGTGAAAAAATGGCTTTTGATCGGGGCAGAGTAAAAACAAAGGGATTCTCATGGACAAGACATTTCTTATGTGTGAAGACATTTCCTTGAGTTCACAAGGACGAAGCAGAACGTCTCACCCACGCGCACACGCACATGCCCACGCACGCACACACACACGGCGCCCCGCACGGCCTCAGCACGCAGCCCTACCATGTTGAGGACGGTCAGCACGTAGGTGGTGATGTTCTCGTGGCCGTGCTCCCGCGTCATCTGCCTGTCCACCACCACCAGGGTCTCCACGTTCAGCTCTGCCCCTCCCAGGGGCCTGAGCGGAGATCGCCTGCGCCGGGAGCGGGGCTGGCCCTCGGCGGGGGTCTGGGGCTTGTCTGTGGGGGGTTGGGAGAGGGTCAGGCTGCAGCCCCAAAGCCAACAACGTGACCACTTATTACGTAGAGACTGAATTTTACAAATGGACTTTGAGGGTCTCCCTGGGGGCGCAGGGGTTAAGTCTCAGGTTATCAAGCTATCGGCAACCACGGCCTGAGTTTGATCCCCGGCCAGGGCGCTACCCACATGGCGCAGCAGACCTCTCCTGACTCCCCGCTGCTCCCCTCAGCAGTGGATTTCAGTGGATCCGCCTGTTCTGCCCCCCACTCTGTCTCTGGTGAGTCCTTTCACCCCCCTCTGCAGCACCCCAAGCAGAATCACTCACTGCCCTGCACGCACGGCTGGCCTTGGCCCTCCCGCCTGCACCCTGCACTGGCACCTGCAGGGAGGAAGCGGGGTGGGGGCGGTGCTTTCCACAGAGGGCAGCACTGCCCAGTGTCTCTGCTGAGTGAGCGTGTTTGGGGGTGAGGAGGAAGGATGTGGGGGTTCCAGAACACACTGAACTGTCCTGAATCTGCCAGAGGAGAGGTTTCCAGATAGAACATAAATAGCGCGTCACCACCTGCTAAATGCTCGTGACAGAAAGGATGCAGACAGGCCTGGTGACAAGCTGCAGGGGGTGACGCCAGCAGAGGCAGTGCCGGGATGTGTCGGGGAGCCAAGCTGGAATGTGCTCGGACACAGCGCCCTCCTCGGGAAAACGATGTGGCTTGGAACAATTCTAGCCCTCGAGAATGTACCATTACAAGTAAGGGGCAGCATCGCCTGAGGCCGGCTGCCGGCTCCGCCTTCCTGGCTGCCTGTGCTGCAGCTGCCTCTGTCCACCCTGTGCCACGGGCGACGTCCGCCCTGAGCTCACAGGCGGCCGCTTCTTTCTGGAATCGTCTAAGTTTAGCCAAGTGACCCAGTAAGTGGCGCACGGCGACAGTCATCCAGGCCCAGCGTCCAGAAGGGGTGGCCTCACGTACCTTTCCGGGGCCTCCCACAGAAGGGCTGTCCTTGCGGGTGCGTGGGGCTGGCGGCCCCATGTGGGCGCCCACGCTCGTGGGACGGGAGGCGCGGCTGGTCCTCTGTCCTGGGGACCTCACCCTGGGGCTCCCGGGGCCCGGGGGGTCTCCTGTACAGGACGTGGGAGGGGGACTCGCCCCCCGCCAAGGTGCTGTGGCTCCCTGCCAGGTGAGGAGGAAGAGGCTTCAAGAAGTAGTCGGCTTCCTGCGTCCGGATCATGCCTGACTGGAGAGAGAGAGAACAGGCAGTTACCCCCAGTGGCCGCCGGGGCCTCCTTCGGCATTGCTGAGAAGTCCTGCTGGGGTGACACGGGCGGTGGGTTGGGGTGCTCCGTGTCAGGGCGGGGCCTGCGGCAGTGCGCCACTGAATGCCCAGCTCCGTCCCTCACCGCACCGCCGGGCCCTCTGGCCAGGCCTACCCCTGGCCCTCTCCCGGAGCCACTGCCTTGCTCTAGAATCTGGGGGGTCCGTGGTGGCTCCACTGGGGGTGCTCGGTCCCTGCTGTGTTCACTGATCTTCCATGCAGGAGTGGGTCGTGTCTGCGAGTCCTCCCTGGTCTTGCTTACATCACTGCGCTGGGTGGGGGGTTGCGTCTCCCTCCAGAGAGCTGGGCGCCCCCCCTGCACACACCGCCCCCGCAGCACTGAGGCCGTCCTCCGTGAGCAGGGAGGGCGTGCGTTGAGGTGTGGGGGTCGGTGTCTGCCTGTGGGTGCGCGGACCCCCGGACGTGGCTGGCCTGGGTGCCGGCCGAGAGCCGGGAGAGGCCTCTGAGCTGCAGGCGGGCGGGCGCGAGACTGAGTCCGGACCAGGCTCCGCGGTGCGGCGCGGGAGGCTCAGGTCCGACACGGGAGAGAAATCACAGCCGGCGAGGGCGATCGGCGGGCGGGACGCTGCCTACCCGATGGTCACGTGACGCCTTTTAGAAATCACCTGGACTGACCCAGAATTAACCCTGGAAAGTGTTCCAGGAGGTCCACGTGCGAGGGAGGTCCTTCGAGGCACGACATGAAGGAAGCAGGGAAGACCCCAGTTTATGAAACACTGGACATGTCTCCGCGCTGTAAGACGCTGGAAGCAGCAGGAGCTACGTGGGAGAGATGCCCTCGGGGGACAGCGGGGCGACGGCCACGCGGGGCTGGACAGCAACTGGCAGGGAGCAGGTGACAGGCCCGTGACTCTGGACAGTGATGGACAGCGGGGCGCCGTGTCCAGAAACACCGAGAGGCCAGAGTGTCGAGGGCCTGGGTCTGGCCCTCGCGATGCTTCTTGAGGTCACCCGTCCACAGCTTCCGCGCCCACGGCCCAGCGCGATGAAAACAAGACGTGACGACACTACTTGCCGATTAACTCGGGCTTCTGAAAGTGTGACTAGACACCGGGACAGACAGAGCTACTAAACAGATGAGCTCATCATCAAGGTTTTCTTGTCCTGGCCACTTTCTGAGTAACACCAAACCTGGTGCAGCGGCGGCCGTGTTGTCCTCTGTGGTGAGGAAGTGGAGAGGAAGGTCAGTCAGTGACATCTTCAAGGTCACCTCCCCGGGAAACATCAGGATAAGCCCGGAGCCAGCATGTGTCGGGTCTACGGATGGGCCCCAGCCGTCTAAGGGCGTGTGTCACATGGCAGCGGCCCGAACGCTCCCTGGAGAGGCGTCTGCGCTCCCTGGAGAGGCGTCTGCACTCACAGTTTCCCTGGAGGAGCGGGCGGGACGGCGGATGGTGGCTTCAGGGAGAGAGTTGTGGGGGGACGTGCAGGGAAGCCCACCCTCGTCTCGCACCTTCTGTGCTGCTCCCCATAGCAACCTGTGGCCTGAAAGACACCTGTGTCCTGGGGTGTGGCTCAGTGAGCTGGGTCCCCCCACTGTGTTATGGAACAGGGCATGAGTTCAGGGCACAACTAGGTCTCCCTGCAGAGAGGCCCAGGAGCCCCTCTCCTGCACCCCGGGTGCTGTGATGACTCAGCACGGCTGGGCGCCCCTGGAATGGCTCTGAGACCCCTCGCGGGCTCTGCTCCAGCTGGCACTGGTCAGGCCTGTGGCTGATCCCACGGGGCTCCTTGCACACCGTGCCCCACAGGAGGCTCAGGGGCCACCTGGCCTGCGGGAGTCTGAGCGTGCACCGTGGGGGTGCCAAGCACAGGGGCATTCCTTAGATCTTGGGAAACTGCCAGACACAGCTCTGGGGGGTGGGTGCTTGGCCTCAGCAGGGCCCAGGTTCCTGCTGGGGACTGGGGGTCAGACGGGAGGGGGGCTTGGTAAATGACCATGAGGCTCTCAGCACCGTGGGGGGTGGCCTCCTGGGGCTGGTTCCTTGGAATTCATGCCCAGGTCGGTCGTGTGGCGGCCACACGGGCTTCTGAAGGGTTCCTGGGGACTGCACGTCTGCAAGGGGAGGGACAGTGGCACGGTAGGGATGGCTGGGGCCGCTCCGCTTAGCCCTTTTGCATTTACACCAACCCAGGAGCAGCCGGGCAGCCATCGGTGAGTCGGCCGGCATCCCGGCTGCGCCAGAGCAGCCCCCACTGAAGGGGGCGGCTAAACAGGGACCCTCACACCAGAGTGACCTGGGCAGCGAGAGGACTTGTAAAGTCTCACCAGCAAAGGAGGCAAGCACCATACTCTTAGTCTTTCCCGATGCGCCACGTTTAAATAATTTAAATATACTTAAATAATATCATGAATTATTTAATATCATGAATTAAGATCATGATCACTGATGAGACCGGTGTTTTGAGATCCTCTGATCATCAATAGTTACTGCAAAATACAAAAAAAAGTCACCCCATTAGCACGCGGCGTCCCAGTTTGCGAGTTTAGCCAAAGATGAGCTAAATCACGGAAGACGGATGTTTCCTCTTACGAAAGTTTTTTCCTCACTGAATCAAGAAGGTTTATTTGGGAGCACATCCCCTGTCTGTCCAGCACTGTGGCGGCTCCTGCCTCCATGGCTGGCAATGCCACTGTTGCCACCATTGCTCGCCAGTAATTGGATGAAATAAAGAGTGGCTGTACTGTGGATGCTCACAGATAGAGGACGTAAGACCCTCTTCCCCTGTGCGCTGGACTGGTCAGCCAGTGACGGGTAAGATCAGGAACAGACCTTTGGTTTGTGACTCCTGACAACCTAAGACAGGCGCAGTCCCCGAGGGGATTTATAAGTGTCCCCCCTTTTTTTAACTCTATGGAAAATAACTGCTAAAAGACAAAAGCATTGAGTTTCAATAACCTGCTCAATTTGCTGAGGTCACACCTGTACTGCAAAACTAGTTTGACTGCTTAAGGAACATGCACTAGGAATCTGGTGGGTGTGGGGAGCCTAGAATTAGGTTGTGCTGTATAAACAGTCACAGTAGTAACAAAAATATGTAGGTCAACATAGATCCTAAGTACAAGAGAATTCTGAGTAGCGACTCAAGCTAGGGTTAATTACCAAAAACCTAGAGGTCATGAATAGCGTAGAGAAAAAGGCGCCCTCTTGCAGCGGTCTCAGTGTGTACCTGATTCATCGACGCCTGCGCATGATCAGAAGCTAGATTTAGTGCATATTGTCTTCGTTATGTTTCACCGCATGTAATAATTGGGTGGTCTGGTGTATGATTAACCACATAATGAACAAAAGCAGCCTTGTGCAATGTCTATGAAGATGTATAAAACGAGCATGATACTTTCAATAAATTGCACTCAAATTTTCACTCTCCCTTGAGTGTGTCCGTGTGTCATTCTTTCTTGTCCCTCGCCCTAATTCCTTCGACCACCTTTCGCTCGTTCTCACTCAATCCCTGAGACTGTCTCGATCTCCCGCCGCCGCCGCTGGGCTGGTCCGCGGCACAGCACCCGCCGCGGGTGCAAAGGCTGAAAGAACTGGGAAGGGAAGCGGCTGTAGCCACCGTCAGGGCCCAAGACGAGAGCAGAACGGGGCCTTTCTTTAGGCTCCCCGGAACGTTCTCCTGCGAGGCCACACAAGGAACCTCATATTTTTGAAAGCAAGGAAGCGACACAACGTTCGCTCTCAGACGGCAGGATTCACCTCAGTCAGTAACAAAAAGGCAACCGGCAAATCCCAAGTGAGAAGAGAGTAAATCACACACGTCTAAACACACGGACCAAAGGGGAAATTGCAAGAGAAAGTGAACACGGTTTGAACTAAATTAAAAGGAAATCACAACGTATCAAAATGCGTGGGACACAATGAAAACGTGCTTGGAGGGGAATTTACATGCGGAAATCACGCATTTGAAAAGAAGAAAAATCTAAAATCTAGGTTTTCGTCTGAGACAATTGAAGGAAGAAGAGCAAATTAGATTCAAAATAATCAGAGACATGATAAGAGTCAGAACAGAAATCAGGGAAATTGAAAACAGGAAATCAACAGAGAAAATTAAAAAAATGTAAATGGATTCTTTAAGAATGACGAAACTCACCGGACTTTGAATTTCTCGTAAGAGAAACGATTCCCTCATCAAATACAATGAAAGCAAAGTATTAACTGAAAAGTTTTTAAAAATGCAATGAATGATCGCGGAGAAGACTTGTTCAGAAAATAAATTTAGAACCAACGAATCAGTAAACAGTGAGCCAATGCGATTATGAAACCAAAAAAAAAAAAAAAAAAAAAAAAACCTAGGAAATCCAAAATCAGGCTTTTAGACCGAAACGGGGATGCTTCATGGAAACTCGGTGGCGACTGAAAAAAGCCACGAAACTGGCTCATGCAACGGCCGGGGCAGGGATTCCAGGGCGAGACAGAATTTCGCCGCTGGGATTCACGTCAGAGCAGGATGGGTTCTTACTTTACGTCAGTGAATTCGTTGTTCTATCTGTTATGTCCTTTATTTACGGCTTTTGTAGGCCCGACTCTTGCAGCATTTGAAGTCTCTCATCAGAGGAAACTTCTAGATGTGCACTATCCAAGATGGTGGGCCCTGAATTTCAATGAAAATTGAATAAAAGTAAACATCAAGTCCTCTGAGCTGACGCCGGAGACCACAGGTGGGGGCCGGGCCCGGCTCTAGAGGGGCAGCCTCTGAGCGCCGGGCAGACGCCCCAGTTACTGGAGGCAGCGAAGGGCGGGGGAGGGGGGGGGCGGGGAGCGACGGAACAGATCACCGAAGGTTTTCAAGTAATAGACGCGTGACGACACGATATGTAAAGGGGGCATTTGAAAGTCAGAATCCTGATAGAAAAGACCCCGCTGGTGGCTTCCTGAGCCACAGAACGTGCCCCCCCCCCCGTGGCCCCTGGACAGCCAACACTCACCCTCTGCTCCCCCACATCCCTGCCCACCGGGCCCATTTCAGTGAGAAGTGCAGCTGGCTCTGGGCTGTAGCTCTTTATTGCCCGAGGGTGCCCTGACAGGGGGGTGCTCTGCATGGGGGTGCCCTGCACGGGGGTACAGCCTCCCCGGCTTCGCAGGTGGCCTCTGCGAATATAAACAAGGTCTAGAGCTCCCTGGCGGCTGCAGGGCGCATGCGAGGCCAGCTCTTGTGGGCACACACTCAGGCACAGAGGCTTGCCAAGCGCAGGGCAACCTCCCAGGTGGTGCCCACCACGGATGCCCACCACCCGCTGGAATGGACACCCCAGTGGGCAGAGGCGCCACCACCATGGCAGAGGCCAGGCGCTTCCCCGCAGTGTCTCACGCGGCCAACCCGCGGACACGACTATGCTGTTCAAACGCAGACGCCTCTGGCCCGGGGCATGTGGCAGCCGGGTCCGTGGAGTGCCCTGTGCGCTCTCAGGTCCCGTGTGGCCATTGCTGTCCAGAGCACATGCAGCACAGACTGGCGTGCGCACGGTGTCCACGCAGCCTGGGACAGTGGGACATCCTCAGAGCAGCGCTACCCAGAGCACCGTCCCGCTGGTACAGCCTGGGAGCCTGGACGGCCCACCTTGTGGAGAAGCTCATGCACCGCTGCAGGTGCCCGCCGCCCTCGCTGGCCGCCCAACGCCCTCACTGACCACCCTCCCTCGCTGGCCACCCACCCTCCCTGGCAGCCCACCCTCGCTGGCTGCCCGCACTTGTTGACCGCCTGCCACCCTCGCTGACCGCCTGCCACCCTCGCTGACCGCCTGCCACCCTCGCTGGCCACCCGCCACCCTCGCTGGCCACACTCGCTGACTACCTGCCCTCGCTGGCCACCCGCCCTCGCTGACCGCCCGCCACCCTCGCTGGCCGCCCACCCCGCCCTGTCGCCGGCTGTACTCACCACGCCCCGGCAGGTGGACAGGGCCACCGAGGAGTTCTGGTGGGACCGCAGGGAGCCCTGGAAGAAGCAGAGCTCCTCACGGGGGAGGGCCTGCACCGACCGCGCGCCGCCCTTCCTGAGCGTCTGGACGAGGAGCCCCGGGACCACCAGGCCACTGGACGCCCTCAGGTCCATGTGGAAGTCGTGCCGGGACCCTCTCAGCCACAGGTGCAGCGGGGCCCCGCCCGGTGGGGCCGGCGTCCTCTTTCCCCTCCGTGGACGGGCGACGTCCAGGGACACGTAGCCGCCGCGGGCGTCCACCTCGTAGGGCGTCACCAGCTCGTACTCTGAAAGGAAAGGGGAGGCAGTGGGTCACCCCCGAATTCCGGACAGGCTGGGGCTCCGAGGATCACGGCGCACACCGGGGCGGAGCTGGGCGGGGGGAGGGGTGCCCGGTGCACTGTCGGGGGAAGGGGCCGGAAGACGGTGTTTTGGGGACAGTAGGGACACGGCTGCGGCCCTCGAAGGTGTCCCTACCACCCAGCAAACCCCCCTCCCGCAAGGGAAACGGAGCGGCCACGAGACCCGGCCGCGGCCCGGGGCACCCATCACAGCAGCTGCTGAAGAGCAGCCTCGCAGCCAGGAACTTCCCCGCCCCACGCCTTAGTCCGCTTCCCCACGAACACCCTCGCTGCAGGAAGAAACCTAAACATAAGGATTAGGTTTTCAAAAAATGGCTAAAAAGAAAAATGTAACGGGCATTCTTTGCTGCTTAATGTCTTAGCGTTTAGTTGTGAAATCACTGAAGGTGCAGGCGCATCTGGTCCAGGCGCCCACATCTGGACCCAGGCCTGTGTGTCTTTGCTCCCAATGAAAACCATGAAGACCCACTGGTGGGGGGGTCCCCACTCGAGAGCAAACAGAAAATCAAGAAAACCCCGAGGAATTACGGGATCCCCAGGTGCCCGCGAGGGGGTGGCCTCGGTGCTGCAGCCACAGACACGTGACCGTCTTCCTCTGCAGGAAGTAGGGAGGCCACAGGTGACCCCTCAGAGTCCTGGGCACCACCACCCAGGACCATCTTCTCCAGAGGGGTTTCTCGCCTTCTAGAACACGATCCTTATCTCCCATTCTCATACCTTTTAGCGCCCATTAGCACCATTAAAAAGTAGCCTCTAGCTGCGGCTGCGGGAGTCAGGGGCAGTGTTTCTGTCCTGGGCAGTGCAGGAGGTGGAGAGCAGAGGGTGGGCCGCAGGCCAGGCCAGGCCATCCCACCCCCCTCGCGGCCCTCTCAGACCCCGGGTGATTCCTCAGGGCTGGGAGAGCAAGTATTTCAGGTCAAGCTTGGTCAGTGGAGCTTTCAGAACTGTGCCCACGCTGGGGGGTCTGTCCTGCGTTATCCCCTGATCGCCAGTCACGGCTGGCTTGGCGCCAGGCTCCCCGCAAGGCTGCTGGCCAGGCCAGACAGCAAGAAGAGCTCCCCGAGAGGTGGACGGTCCTGAGTGGTGCACGTGGCGATGCCCTCTCCTCAGCCCACAGGCCAGGACGCGGCCACCTCGTCCTCAGACTGTGTGCGTCCCTGGACCCAGCAGGTTCCAAGGCACCGACCTGTCTGATGCTTGATGTGGGGTCCTCTCGGGGCACTGGGCCTGCTCCCTTGGGGCGTCGGGGGAAACCGCCTCCCTGGAGCAGGTCTGGTGTCACGAGCAGCACCCCGCAGGCTTCCCTGGAGCCAAGGTGATCGCTGCCCCCGTGCTGCCCTGGCAGGTGACTACGGTTGACACTGGAGGGCCCGTGCTGGCTAGGGCAGCGGAGAGGGCTGTGGCTGGGGGTGTCTCCTGGGCCCGCACTGCAGCCCCAGCGTGTGCCAGGGTGGCCAGGGCCTGGGCTACCTGGCTTCCACTTCCCCAGGGCAAGAGGGTGGGTGCAAGGCTCTCCTGAGCACCCCTGCGGCCAGGGAAGCGTCCCTGCTGAGGGGGTCCTGTGCTGGACAGCCTGCAGGTGCTGGGGGACTTGACAGTCCTCGCGGAGAGGGTGGCTGGGCGGGCAGGTGGGTGTGGCAGCCACGTGTTGGAATCAATTCCTGTTTCACTTGGAAAAGAGGGAGCAGGGCCTCCCTGGTGGCCAGGGTGAGTCTCAGCACTAGGACGCTATCCGCAGCCACTGCAGCCGGGACAGGCTGGACCAGCTATGGGGGCGCCGAGACCCAGCGACCCGCTCAGGGCCTCTGTCTGGACAGCAGCGAACTGTCCGCTGTGGCGCTCACTGAGCACGGGTCACTGCGGGGACTGGCGGCAGCCCCAGCACCCAGGAGGGAGTGCGGCATGGGGGAGAGGTGGCCCAGGCACCGGGGGACACTGCTCGGCCTCCAGCAGAGACAAGCTGCGCGTGAAGGGGCGAGGGAGTGAGGGGCAGCGGAGTTCACGGATGGGGCTGGAGGGGAGAGCTGAGGAGGAGCCCGGCCCAGCTCTGGGGGCCAGAAGTCGGAGATGCGCCAGCGCCGGGGAGGGCCGCACCCGCGGGGCAGTGACCGGACATCCCTTCCAGAGAGAAATCCCAGGCCCACGATTCCGACCTGGAACTGGCCAGAAAGCACTTCTCTCTGCGGCTCGGTGCGAAGCCCCTGGCACTGCAGCCTGATTCACAAGCCTGGGGCCCGGCCCGCCCTGGCCGCCTCACCCCGCAGGCGCCCCCGTCGGCTTCAAGCTCAGTCAAAACTAGCATCAGGTCCAGTTTTCACACAAAAAAACTGCAGTTTGAAAGGAGTTTGCTGAAACACAGGGAGCTGGGGCAGGTTTTGCAGCGGGAACATGAGGTTTACGTTTCCAAACGCCTATTTCATGAAACGGAGGCAGAGAGGCAGGCTGGGGGGTCACCCCCCCTCAGACTGGGGGCGCGGGCGGGGAGCCTGGCCCGGCCCCTGTGAGGCCACCCCGGAGGGGGGCGATCATCTTAATCACCTGAAGAGGAGGCGCCCCCGCGCGCAGATCGCGCCGCGCCCCCAACCCGGCCCCGCCCCGCCCCCCAACCTGTGCGTGCCCGGGCCCCACCCCGCCCCCTGGCCTGCCTGCCCCGGGGGACCCCCGCCCCCCAGCCTGCGCGCCCCCGGACCCCCACCCCCCAGCCTTTGCACCCCCGCCCCCCCTGCCCCCAGCACCGCCCCCCGCCTGTGCGTCCCCGCCCCCAGCCTGCACGCCCCCCCAGCCTGCGCGCCCCCAGCCTGCACGCCCCCCCAGCCTGCGCGCCCCCCAGCCTGCGCGCCCCCAGCCTGCGCGCCCCGCCCCCGCAGACCCCCCTCGCCCATCCGATCCCGGCGACCGGCGCCCACAGGCGCGCGAGCCTCTCCCGAGGGTCCCTCCCCGGCCCGGCCCGCGGCTGCGGGCTCCGCACACCCCCCCCCCCCCCCCCCGCGCCCGGCCGGCGCCACCCCAGAGGCAGAGGTGGGGCGCTCGGGGCTCGGGGCGGACGTCCGTGTCCAGCCCCCCAGCACCGCCCCCCGGCCCGGGCTGGACGTTCGCGGTTTCCCTCAATTCGGGGGGCAGCGCCCGAGCCTCCTGCTCCTGCTCCGGACAGCGACGGCGCTTCGGCTCCCGCCGAGCCTCCCGGCCTGACACCCCGAGCGCCGGCGGGGCTTGGGGGGACGCGCCCGCCCCGGACGTCCCTGGGGCGGCTCTTCCCTTCGGCGCTGGCCCCCGAGGTCAGCCCTGTCCGGGCTGCAGCGGCCCGCGCGGTCTCGGGGGGCGGCCGGGGAGGGGGCGCACCCCCGGGGCGACGCTGACCCCCCAAGTCCCTCCGAGGGCGCCGTCGCGGGTGCTGGAGGGGCCGGCAGGTGACGCCTTCAGGGCCCCGCCCACTCCAGGAACCAGGCTTCTTCCAGAAAGCTCTTTTTTTAAACATTGGAGGGGCCTCCCCGGGGCGCAGCGGTTGAGCGCGAAGCTGCCCGCGGCCTCTGCGGCGCCGGTTCGATCCCCGGCTGCTCCCCGGCCACCGGAGCAGGGTCCCACATGGCGCGCAGACCTCTCCTGCCGCCCGCTGCTCCCCTCAGCAGTGTCCTTCGGTCCTTCTGCCTGCTCTGCTCCCCGCTCTGGCTCTGGCGAATTCTCTCACCCTCCCGCGCTTCTGACTGTGCCCAGTGCATGTATAAACAAGTGAATAAATCTTAAAAAAAATCAACACTGGCGGGGCCGCGCCTCCAGCCGGACACCGCGCGGGCGCCCGGGCCGCGAACACCCGGCGCGGGGCTGGGGACGGGGCGCGGGCCTGGCGCCCTCTGGCGGCGTCGCGGGGGCCGCGCAGGGACCGGCCGCGCGGGGACAGTCGTGCTGCGCGCGAGGAGTCCCGTCTCCGTCCCCACGGACCCCACTGACCCCACTGTCCCCACTGCCTGGAGACGCGGCCGCCGGCGCAGGAGTTCGAGCCGCGCCCCGCACGGCGGGTGTCGCTCCGCGGGGAGATGCCGGGGCCCCGACACCTCTTCTTCCTCCGAGGCGCCCACCGGCCGGTGCCCGCGGGACCGCAGCTGCCGCCTCCCGAGGGCCGGCGCCCCGGACCCTCCCGGGCGAAACGCACGGCCCCGCGCGGCCCAGAGCAAAACCCACGCGAAGGGCCGGACTGTCCCGGCGGCGGGCCAGAGGGCGGAGCGGCCCGCGCGGGCCTCGAACCGCCGCCGGCCCGCCCAGGCACCAGCACTGCGCGGCTGCGCCCCTGGGGGAGCCTCGGCCCGACCCAGGCGGGTCCAGCAAACCAGCGCAGGTCAGCCCGGGCGGGGGGCAGCGGGTCAGCCCGGGCGGGGGGCAGCGGGTCGGCCCGGGCGGGGGGCAGCGGGTCGGCCCGGGCGGGGAGCAGCGGGTCGGCCCGGGCGGGGGGCAGCGGGTCGGCCCGGGCGGGGGGCAGCGGGTCAGCCGGGGCGGGGGCAGCGGGTCAGCCCGGGGCGGGGGGCAGCGGGTCAGCCCGGGCGGGGGCAGCGGGTCAGCCGGGGCGGGGGGCAGCGGGTCAGCCCAGACTGGGGAGCAGCGGGTCAGCCCGGGCGGGGGGCAGCGAGTCAGCCCGGGCGGGGGCAGCGGGTCAGCCGGGGCGGGGGGCAGCGGGTCAGCCCGGGCGGGGGCAGCGGGTCAGCCGGGGCGGGGGGCAGCGGGTCAGCCCAGACTGGGGAGCAGCGGGTCAGCCCGGGCGGGGGGCAGCGAGTCAGCCCGGGCGGGGGGCAGCGGGTCGGCCCGGGCGGGGGCAGCGGGTCAGCCCGGGGCGGGGAGCAGCGGGTCAGCCCGGGCGGGGGCAGCGGGTCAGCCGGGGCGGGGGGCAGCGGGTCAGCCCAGACTGGGGAGCAGCGGGTCAGCCCGGGCGGGGGGCAGCGAGTCAGCCCGGGCGGGGGGCAGCGGGTCAGCCCGGGCGGGGGGCAGCGGGTCAGCCCCGGCGGGGGGCAGCGGGTCAGCCCGGGCGGGGGGCAGCGGGTTAACAGGCAGGAGCGAGGGTCGCGGGGAGGCGCAGACAAGAGCAAGGTACTCCCCAAACTGCTTTGACGCAGACATGGCTACAGTTCGGGGTCCCCCCGTACATCTAGCCTCCCCCACAGCCTGTGATGGTCACTCGGTGCCGCGCCCCCCGCTCGCGCGCCCTCCCCGCGGCCACGGCCGGCAGCCGAGGCCGCTCCCCGCGCTGCGGCCCGCCCGGCCCGGGCCCTGACCCCGGTGGGCGCGGGCGAGCGGCGACGCCCCCAGACCCCCGGACTTACCGCCCGTCTCCGCCCAGCCGCGCGGCTCCGCGGCCCCGGGAGGTGGCCGGGCGCTCGGGGGCGCGGGCGCGGCGGGTCCCGGGGCGCGCGCAGGTGTCTGCGGGGAGACAGGGGAGCCGGTGAGACGGGCTGCGCGGGGGGCGCGGGGGCCGGAGCCGCCCGCCGGGGAGGGGGCCCGCCGCGCCCACCTGCGCCAGCAGCAGCACCCAGAGCGCCGCGCAGCCCGGGGCCCGCATCAGGCCGGCGCGGCCCCCGGGGAGGACGCGGCCTCGGCGGGGCGCCCGGGGGCGGGGGCCGGGGACCGGCGGACAAGGGGACCCGCCCGGCCGCCGGCGCAGGACTCGCCGGTGATTCCCGCCGCGACGCCGCCGCCGCGGAGCTTATACTGGGCCGGGGCGCGGGGGCGCGGGGCGGAGGGGCGGCGCGGGGCGCGGGCACCCTCCCTCCCTCCCTCCCTCCGTGGGAGAGCGCTGGGGGGCGAGGGCGGGGAGCTGGAGGGGGAGCGCCTGGGAGGCGGCCCGCCCGGGGGAGCGGGAGGGGGAGGGAGGAGGCGGGAGGGGTGGGGCCCCCGGAGGAGGCCGCTAGGCTGCCCCTTCCTGGCCCTGAGGGTGGAGCGGGGTCGTGGGGAGGAGGGAGCAGCGCCTCCTGCCTGTGCGCCCCGGGGAAGCCCCAGCCTCAGGGCCAGTCCCCGCCCCCAAGGGCCCTGACACCTGCCGCCTGCGGGTGGGGAGGCCGCTGAGGGACGCGGGGTCTGGGCCTCCTCCTGTGCCCGGACTTCCTAGGGGATGTGCCCACCCGCGTGCGCCGGACTCACGCAGCTCTGGGAGGTGGGAAGGGATGGGAGCAGGAGGGGTCCAGAAAGCTGGGTGTGGGGGACCCTCTGCCTCAGCGGAAGCAGCGCCACTTCAGGCGCAGGGGTCACGCCGCCCTGCTCAGAGCCCTTGCTGGACTGCCGGGTGCCTGGACATGGCCAGAGGACCCGGAGCCCTCGGGGCAGGGCCTGAGGGGCAGCGCCCGCCACCCTAGGGGTCCGGAACAGCAGGCTCGGGGCCACTGAGCTCAGCAGGCGGCTCCGCCCGGGCCTTCCTCCTCCAGGCCGGGTGTGTGCATGGGTGTGAGCATGAGTTCTGCTGTGATCACACCTGTACATGCGTGTATGTGCACCAGGGCCTGGTGTGTGTGCACCACGTGCAGGTCAGTGTGCTGGTGCGAGTCCACGAGTGTTCGGGCGCGGGGGTGTCTGGAAGGGTGCCAGGAGCCTCCGCTCCAGGGGTCTCACCTTCACGCTGACCCCTTGGCCCTGGGCCCTGGCTCTGTGCCGTCCTTTGGCCCGGCTTCACCTGGTTTACGCACTTCGGGCGGGAAAAAGGCAAATGGAATGATGGCCGTGACCTCTGACCCCCCCTTGCCTCTGCTGAGTCTGAGGGGGCCTCTGGCGGTTCTGCAGGTCCCTCAGATCCCAGCAGGGACAGTAGAGGCCCAGGCTGAGGGGAGCCCCCCTGGTACACATCACGCCTCCCCTTCATTTATTTGAAAGCACCCCTCCAAGGTGCACACATTTCTCCATAAAGCCGCTGGGGATGGACTTAAGGCTCCGCACCCCCCACTGCCTCTGGCTCGCCAGGACGGGCCTGCAGGTCTCCAGGTGACAGAAGAGGGCAGCCCGGCCTGGGGGGGTGGCTGGCTGTGGGCACTCAGAGCCGCACTGATGGGAGCCCCGGGTGGGGTGGAGGAGCAGAGGGGTCTGCAAAGGCCGTCTGGGGCAGACACCCCCTTTGTTTGGGTGCAGGCTGGATACACGCAGGAGTGGCTGGTTATCTGATTACGTGGCATGTGACTCCCGAGGTGTCCGCATTCCCAGCCAGGCTGAGATCACATGCAGACACCCAGGGGCGCTCCTGGAAGTGCAAACTAGTGGACTGACGGGTTGGCTAGGGTGAAAGGATCCTCCGTGCTCTGGCTCTGGAGTCAAGGCTCTGCAGAGACCCTACCGGGGCAAACCCAGCGTGGCCGGCTGGGGCCTGGGAGCGGGGAGCTGGCAGACTGGGCGGAAGGAAGGTCCTAGAACACGGAGTCCTGGGATTGGGGATTTATAGTAAATTACAGCACACATGCGCACCGCACGCGTGACACACACCACACGCACTTACGTGTTTGGTCTTCAGTTCCCAGCGAGGAGCTCCTGCAGCTCTGGGGACGTCCTGCCTGAGAGGGAGGAAGGTGTCTTTGTTTTGGGATTGAAGGACTTTGCACCTGGGCCTGGGGCTGTTGCCAGGGGAAACAAGGACCCCCCTAGAGGAGAGCGGGTCAAAGGTTGATCCCATCTCCAGTGGCGGAAGAGTTAATTAACCCTGCCTAGGAGTGAAATCCAGAAAGCCCAAAGGTGGGTTCGGAACGTGGAAGTCTGAGCAGCCGGGCACCCCAGAGAGTGAGGGTTCAGGCCTCCCCACCTGCCCGACCTCTGCCCGCCTCTGCCCGGCTGCCCCGCGTCACACGCATCCTTAGTTACAGGCGGACGGAGGGTGCCCCAGGGAACCCACCCCCGCTTGCTGTCAAGGGACGCACAGTCCACACTGGAGGACAAGGCAGGCCGCGGGCGAGGTCTGCAGGGCTGGGCTCTCAGCGCGTGAGTGTGTGCTCGGGGGGGGGCGGGCGAGAAAGGCCTTCGCTTCCCTGTTGAGACACCAAAGGTGCCTTTCCCTGGTGAGGAAGTGTCTGGCCAGAGGAGAGGGGTCGGCCCAACATGCCTGGGACCATGCCACAGGCTAAGGCTCCTCCTGGCGGGGACCACGGAAAGGGGCAGAAGGGCCGGGCAGGTCTGGGACGCAAGAGCAGAAGCAGAGCACAGGTCACGTGACACCCCGTGGTCAGGTCTCGACCCCAAGCGCCTCTTCCAAGCCCCCCGCCTGACTTTTAATTTTTAAGATTCCCAGACATTAAATTTAGCTCCCCCCAGACTTCAGCCTTTCAGTCCACCCCCAAGGGGCAGCTCCCAGGCACCAGGCGGAGGTCAAGCAAACCCTGGGCTCACGGGCTACCCCACGAGGTGGGCGGGGGTGGGCGGGGGTGCGCTTCAGTCCTAGGTGCTAGTCCAAGAGGCACAGAGGCAGAGGGGCGGAACATCCACGACACTCCATTACGAGAAAGTAGAGATGTGGAGTATCCGGAAGAGTGCGGGGTAGCCACAGAGAAGGGCACATCGGAAAGCCTTGCTGACATCAGGAGACAGAAAAAAAAAACCCTACCAATAACATGCACATTAAATTGCTTCGTGTGAAGCGAAGCCCAGTTTTGGTTCGGGAGTAAGATCCTTCCTACGGGGGCACAAGCTGCAGAGAACGGAAATCCACGCTACACAGTAAAATGCAGTACTTACCGCACAAACACGGCGGGCTCTGCTGGGGGCCCGGGAAGCCTCACGAGGAATCAGAGCCGGCCAGAGGGTGGGCTGAGGCTGACGTCCCTTCCCCAGTGCGCGTCAAGCAAGCCTGGGACGCAGAAACCGCACCCGGTGCTTCGAGATTTGGCTCGGGTGGCATCGGACGCACAGACGCGAAACACAGCGTCTGTCCCTTCAAACAAAAGCGGGAGGCGGCCGGTCGTAGCAGGTCAGTCAAGGCCGAGCCCAGCAGGAACGGCGGGGCCTCCCCTGCTCCACGTGCGAGCCCCGAGCCCGCTGACTTTCCAGAAGCAGTTCGGGGTCCTCCCGGTGGAGACCCAGCCCCGGGCGGAGTCCGCATTTCCGCAGACGGCGGGCCCGGCCACGCACAGCAAATCCTGTGACAGACCCGTCCCTTCCGCCATCTCAGCTCATTTGTAAATACCTTGGGTGGCTGGAAAACTGCCATCAGACTCCCCCAAAATGAGAGGGGGGCACCCCACCTGCTCGTTGCAAAAGAGTCTGGGAAGAGCCTGCCTCGTGGGCAGAGGTGATGAGTCCCACCCGCAGCGGGGGCGCGGAGGTCTGTGCGTGGTGGACGAGACCGCAGCTTCGGAGGCGTCTCTGCACATCCAGGGAGGCGGCGCCCGCACTGCCCGAGCTGCCAATGTCACGTCCTGCATCTGGGCCCTGGTCAGCTGCCCCCGATGGCCCATCTGGGCTCCCCTCCACCGAGCGCCCCAGGTCTCTCCTGCGCCCCTCACTTCTGTCTCCTGGCTAGGCACCCTCAGGTCCCTCCGGGAAAGAGGCACCTCTGGCCTAGCCCGTGCCTCCGCCTTGGCATCCCATGGTCTCTGCTCCCATGCTGGCACATCTCTGCCTCCCCCTCTGACCCTAGGGGCCTCCTGACACGTCTCTGAAGGTCACGCTGTGTCCTCATCGCTAAAGGTCCTTCCTAATTTCTGTCCTGCACTCTGGTTCCCCCAGGGCGTGTCTCCATGTGCTCCTACGGTGCCAACCCCCAGCGGGGGCTGTGGCCTCCTGAGCATGGATGGCCGCCGAAGTCAGAGGTCAAGGGCACAGAGCCAGAGCCCCCAGTGCAACCAGGCAGGGCCCGTGTCCCCCTCTGGCTGCCGTTAACGGGCCTCAGCTGGTATGAAGGTGAGCTGGAGCCAGAGGCCTGCGAGGTGCTCGGCCTTATCTTCCCCTGCGCCCGGTCCCCTCCGTGCGCTCAGGCGCAGCACTGTGTGGCGGCAGCTTGGGCACAGGGCCTGGGCTGGGCGTGGATTCCTCCTCATGCTGCCGGCCCGGTCGCTCCGGCACCAGCTGTCCAGTATCGCGCTTCCCAGGAGACAGGAGCTTGGGCGACCCGGGGGCCCGCCCCTTGGCTGGGGTCCGTCACTGGACACCAGGCCCGCTCGCGGATGCCCGTTTCTGCTGCGCGGCGTCTGGTTCCAATTCCTAAAGCCGCTTCCCTGAGTGACGACAGCCAGCGAGCTCTGCAGGCATGCCACCTGTGACGTCACCACGCCCCCGGAGAGCACGCGCCACCCACCCGTGCCTCCTGCCCACGCCCCTGCCCGCTCTCTGCCCCCAGCCCTCACCCCGCGTGTCCCTGGCGACCCGCCGGGCTCCCTGTGGCTCACTAGGCTGAGGCCGCCAGAGCGCGACTTCCCAGCACGTCCTGCTGGCAGGAGCCGCGGCGCTCCCCGGCGAGTCACCAGCGCGGGCCGCGTGTGCTGGCCCCAGCTTCCGACGGTCACACTTGAAATCGCTATCAGTGCCTGCGCGGACATGTTTTAACCTGTTAATATGTTTAATATGTTAACGTGTCTAATATGTTAAATATGTTAATGTGCTTAACATGTTAATATGTTCAATATGTTAGTATGTTTCCTGGGTAGGTTTTATAAGGGGAATTTTGGAATTATACCATTAGAGAGAGTTCGACTGTTTCCCAGCTGGGTCCACGCGGGCCCTGCAAGTTACCGTGATGCTGTTCTGTGGCCGGGATGCTTGCGTCGTGTTCCTCCGTGTAGACGTCCGTGACAATGTCCGAGTTTTGTCTGTGGGTTTCCTTTCTATAAATTGAGTAATGCAACTTTAAACATTACTTAGAGATTTCTCTTCTTGTCTTCTCAAGGGATTATTAAGAATTATTTTCTCTTCTCTCCATATTTTAGGGCAGTTTAGTAATTAGGAACTTGTTTTTAGTTTTCTAAACTTGAATATTTAACAGGAATATTTAACTTAACAGAGTATAATGTGTGACATTTCTTAGCTATCCCACTGGACGTTAGGATCTCAGACTGCTTTCACCCTAAACACCTCTTACTTCCTTTACTTGTCTTTACTTTTATCTTGTTATTTTAATTTCACAAATCAAAGGGGATGGCAATCATGTTATATAGTTAAATGTGTCACATTTACCTTTCTTCATCAGTATTCCTTGCATCTCAAATCTTCCTTCTGGAATGATGTTCTCTTTCCCAAAGTACATCTTTTCTAATTTCCTTCAATGAAAATCTGGCAAAAGTGTGCTCTCTCTTTTTGTATCTCTTAATATGCTTGTATTTCTTCTTCATACCCAGAACGTAGTTTGCTGGATACAGAATTCTGGAATGAGGTCCGTTTCCTTGTGGGCATTAAAACAGGTATTCCGGGGCCTCCCTGGTGGCGCAAGGGGTTAAGCACAGCACTATGAAGCAAGCTGCAGCCTCTGCAGCACGAGTTCAATCCCCGGCCTACCAGGGAGCAACCCACATGGCGCAGCAGACCCCTCCTGTCTCCCCACTGCTCCCCTCAGCAGTGGATTTCAGTCCGTCTGCCTGTTCTGCTCCCCACTCTGTCTCTGGTGAATCCTCTCACCCCCCACCCTGCACCACTGGCCTATACCCCAGCTCTTGTGTGCATAAATAAATAAATCTTTAAAAAAAAAAACAGGTATGGTATTCCGGCTACTTTCAACCTCCCTCATTTCACTTGAGACATTATCAATCTAATTGCCATGCTTTTATAGACAATCTGAATTTTCTTATGATTCCTTATTGGTCTCTGTCTTTTCTTAGTCTTCTTAGGACTCTTTGTATTTAGAAATCTTTAATTTTACTATAATGTGCATAGACGTGGATTTTTAAAACACCCTAAAACCTAAATCTTCAGATTTAGATCCTACATTCTGAGCACTTGAAAAAATCAATTTTGTAAAATTCTGCTGTCAGTTTATCTTTGAATAGTATTTCCCCCCTTATTTGCTCCTCTGGATCTATTCCTTGGCACTTTCTTGGATCTATTTTATATTTTTCTCTCTGTGTCTCTATGGCTAATGGCCCATACACCGTCCAGTTCACTAACTTTCTTCACCTGCATCTGCTCAGTTAAGTCCCTAGTGTCTGGGTTAGGAATTCTTTGTTGTGACGAGAGGAAGTGAGTCGTTTTCAGGGGCAAAGGCCATTGAAACTCAAATCCACATACGGATCAGGATTATATAAAGGAGCCCTTTTTGGAAGCAGGACCCAGGGGATCCTCGGAGGTTGGAGGCCTGGCGAGAACTGGGGGTGTGGGGGACATCTGGTGGGCACCGGGGCTGACTGAGCCGCCCCCCGGACCGGCCAACTCACTCCAGGAAACAGGCTCTTAGCTTGGGCTGGCATGTGGCTACTCGGCAGTCAGGTGCGAGTCTCCTGCCCCTTTCGATCACTGAATTCCAGCATCATTTTTGGGCAAGTTTTTTAATATGGAAAAGCATATGAAGTAAATACACTACAAAGTAATGAACTTATAAATCATACAATCTGGCTCAAAAACACACCCATTAGGAATTTTTGATGTATATAAATAGAGTTTATGGAGCATTTCTTGGAAAAGGGGGAGCATGTAGGAAAGGGAAGGGAGTGGGTGGCAGCCCCCCGACACAGCCAGGGTGGGGGAGGTGGTGCTGGGCCTGTCTGGCCCCAAGGTGGCTTGGAGCCTGCGGCCCTGAGGGGCCTGTGCGAGCAGCTCTCGTTGGGGAGACAGACGCAGACTTGCTGCCCGGGTGACGCTCCTGCCAGGGGCACCTCCAAGGCCCGCATGTTCCCAGGACTCAGAGGGGCCCAGAGGCCACTGCTGCTCCCCTTGCAGGAGCCCCGGCGAAGATTCCCTCAGGGGCCTGGACACCTTTGGGTGTCGTACCTCAGATGGCCTGGGTGCCGGTGTAGTCAGGCGCAGCGCCGAGAGGACCAGCTGGGAAGGCACTGCCTTCCTGCTCACGGCCACTGCCCTGTGAGCTGAGGGATGCTTCTGCTGTCTGTGGCCACGGGCCAGAGCTGATTCGGACACTGGGACGTGACTCGGCCTCCTGCGCTGCGGTGGCTTCTCCTGGGCGCAGGGCGGGGGCTTGGAACACACCCTCAGCCCCGGGCCCAGGCCCCGTCCAGGCTCATCCTGGTCCTGATCCAGTCCCGCGCATGCGGCGGAGCACCTGTGTGCAGGGCCGGGAGGCTGCAGAGCTCAAGGCCGCGGGGGGTGCTGGCTCTGCTGGCCGGGGCGGCTGTGGGGCCGGAGAGCGAGGGGCCCCTCGGTTAATAGCTCACTGTCCGCTGACTCATTTCTGACCCCTGGTGTTCCCAGGCATTCCGGTGGCCGCCTCGTCACTGAGTAACAGGGGCCCCCCAGCCTCCTCCGTCTCGCGCCTCGGGCAGGCTGGGAATTTCACTTCAGCTGATAAATGAATGCTTTATGGGGGTGGCTGCCTCCCCCAGGCCGTGGAGCCCTGCGTGTCTGGAAGCCCCAGCACAGCGTGGCGACCCCTCTGAGTTGGGATTCCCCGGGACCGTCTGAAGAGGGCAGTGCTGCCCACACTGGGCCCCCCCACCCCAGTGGTGGGCGGGAGGCGGGTGTCTCCCCAATGGGTGACTCTCTCTTAAGAACATCACTTTCTGAGCACCTTTCTAAGCACGGGCATCGCTGTCCAAGCTGTTTCAGGTGAGCCTCCTGAGGCGCTGCTGCAGCTCCCAGTGAGATGCACAGGCTGACCTGGAGAGCCGGGGTGCGTGGCCCAACCCCACTGCCCGCCCGCGTGTCCAGGCAGGACGTTGCAGGTCCATGGGGGACTGGCCAGTCCCTCCTCCTGCAAGGGCAGGCTGCCCACCCCGGCCATGCTCGCAACCTGGCACATGGCCTGTTCCACGCACTCAGCGCCAGGACCCCACCCCGGGCCCCAAGTGTCCCTGTCGGACATCTGGCTGCCATGGGCTCCTGGCCACAGGTGCCTGGGGGTGACTCGGGTCCCCTGGCCCTGGCTCATCCCTGGGGGCACGTTCTTACTCAGCAAATGGGACGTTGCAAGGCTGGTGAGCTGGTGGCCACCCAGGTGCCTTAGAATTTTCATTTTGAATTTGAATTTATCTGTGATTTTTACAATGGGAATGTTTTTGAGCAACACAGCCGAGTCTGACTTGACGAGACCTGTGTCTGGCCGCTCCCAGAGTGCTCCTGGCGTGAGCTGGCGAGGCTCGACGAGAGCAGAGCTGAGCAGATCATCACGCGAGGACTTGACCCAGGAAGGGCCCAGGCCCTGCCCTGCGAGAGCTGCTCCAACAAACACAGTGGGTTTGGTGTCCGTCGGTGGGGACAGCGAGCGTCACTGGCATCCAGAACGCGCCTTGACAGGGAGGCTTCTGGCTCCACGCTGTCCTGATCCCAAGACAGGCGGAGCTGGAGGGAGGCGTGAGGGCCTAGTGACCCTTTCTGCCCAGATAGTGCTGCAGTGGCCAACGCGGTGCCGCATTGCCCAGCTTCCCAGCTCGTGGCCGTCCCAAGGACACTGACCGCTGCGTGCTGAGGTGCAGGGAGACAGATGCCCAAATCCCTCCGGTTCGCACAGTTGTACCAGCGAAGGTTAGGCTTTCCGAAAAAAGGGTCTGAAAACGGGGCTATAATGGGGCGCTGCATGGCCCTGCAGAGGGCTCCCGCGCGTCCCCGGTGGACGAGACGCGGCTCTTCCAGCTCAGCGTCCCTGGCCCTGGTGGGCTCCCTCCTCCCCACCGAGACACTGAGACGCCGTTGTGCTAAGGACGGCGACAGCTCGGGCCACGCTGGCGGTGCCAAGAGCGGCACCAACACCCACGGCCGCCGTCAGGCAGTGCGTCTGTGGTGGGTCCCGGGGGCAGCGAGAGGGCCCTCCTCACCCGGCCCTGGACTCGCGGGGACTTGCTTCCCATCCCGGCCGGGGGGCGCCCTGTTCAGAGAGGAGCCCCGTAAACAGGGTGAGCTGGCTCAGCCCCCAGTCTGGGGTGAAGAGGGCAGAGCCTCCCTCCTGCACCCTCCTGGGCTGCCCCAAGGGAAACGCAGTCTTTTTAGAGTAAAAAAAAGACTGAGCTGCAGGCACCCAGGTGGGCACCCAGGTGGGCACCCAGCCTGCATCTTTGCAGCAAGTTCATTAGCCGGGGCACGGGTGACATCCTGGCGCCTCCGCTGGCACGTGAAGGGCGCGGGGCCGCGGAGCCGGGGCCCCCGGGGATAGCGCGTGTCTGACGCCGGCACGAGCGGGTCCGCCTGGAGTTGCTGGGCCGCTCCGGACGGCGCCGGCCGAGTCCTCTCGGAGGAGCTAATGACCCCTTTGTGTCAGCTGGGGCCTTCCCCGGCCAGCAGCCCTACCGGCCCGGGCCGCCTCTGGCTCTCGGGCAGGCACGGCCGTGCCCTGGACCCACGCCGCTTCGGCCTTCCTCGGGACGTGGCGTGTTCCCTACTTACAACATGATGTCAGTTTTGGGAGCACGGCTGCCCCCTTGGGGTGCAGACGCCCCAGGGACACTCCCACACCCAGCGTCCCACGCCCCCCCCAAACAGCACAGTTCTCAGGAGTGTAAGGGTCATTTTGCGGCATTTCGTCAGCTCACTGCGCTGACTGCGTTCCAGGTGTGCGCACCCGGGCCCGGCCGTCACTCAGGACTCACGCGGGGTCCTCACCTCGAGCGTCTTCCGCGTTGTCACAAAGGCAGTGGGGTCAGGCCGCCCGGGGGAGCCTGTCCCCGTCTGCCGATGCCCGCCCCGCTGCGGGGTGGGGGGCTGTGCTGAGGGCAAGGGAGACCCGGGACGGCTCGCCCCGGGGCGTGACCGTGGCGGGACTCCACCATCCCGTGGTCACCGGCCACTCCCTTTAAACTTTGACGACTTCGGCAGCTGTCGGGCCGGCCACTGCGTGTGCGGCGCGGCCGTGCTCGGGCCCGCTGGACCTTTCAGACGCCCGTGGACTTCAGCTCCGGCGCATCCTTGCACCTGTCGGAGCTCCGCCGAGGGCCCCGCGCGTCTCTGCTGTGGTTGCTCTGCGGGCGTCCTTGGCGGGTGACCCACGGCACCCCCTGCCCTCTCTCTGGGACGCAGGCTTAGCCAGGCGATGGGCATGGCGCGTGTGGAGCCCCCCACCCCGTGGGGACGCCGTGCGGGCGAGTGGCTTTACTGCCGGTGGCCAACATCTCCGCCGGGCACTCTGCTAGCCCGTGGCTTCCCCTGGGTTTCTGGGGAAAAAAACTCTGTGCAGGGAAGTTGGATTTTTTATTCTGCCCCTTTAAAGGGATTTAGAGAAGTTATTCTTTCTCATCTCCTCAATCAGCCTTTCTCAGCCCTGGAGATAAATTTGAACCACCTGCAGAGCTTTAAAAATACCCTGGTCACCGTTTGGGTTGGGGCCAGGCCAGCTGACCGGGGCGGGGGCGGGGCTGAGATTTTCCCTTGGCAGGGAAGGGGGCGGGGGTGGGGGGCGAGTCTGTTTCTGGAAGCTCCCCTGGGGTCCTAGCCAGCAGCTCAGCTTGAGAACCTCCGGGCGCATCATCACCCCCTCGGTCCCTCTGCTCGTTCCCACCGTCCATCCTCTTGTGCTTTACTGCCCAGGATGGTGATTCCCAAAGCCGGGTACCGGGAAGGCGCAGCCCCAGTGATCACGTGTGAGGAAATGCCAGTTCCCAGGCCCGCCAGCTCTGCCCAGTCAAACCCCCAGGGTGAGGGCCGCAACTGAGCTGCCCCTGCAGGCCAGTGTCCAGAGCACCCGTGTCTGTGGCGTCCACGGCTCCTCCGCAAGCACAGCAAAAACCTCCCATCCTGCTCCGTGTCCAGCCTGCTGGCCGGCCGGGCGCCCGGGGACTGGGAAGCGCACGCTCTCTCTGGCCGTCGGGCTCCCGGCCCCTCGCCCAGCTCCTGGCTCCTCGCCCGGCTGCGAGGGGCCAGGCTCAACACGCACCTTTTCCTCCTTCCAGCTCGTTCCTTTTCTGGCGCCTCACAGGTTCCTGGGGCAGGAAACAGGTGACGGTTGTGTCCTTAGCTACCGATCAATCAATGAATCAAGCCGAACTTGGCAGTGGAACGACTTTCCAAAAAGAACTAAAAGGGAGATTTGCTGAAGGACTTAGGAGAAACACAGTCCCGTGCTTGACGCGGTCTGAACCCACAATTCCGCTTTGGAAGCTGGAGAGAGTGGGCACCATCTAGGGGGTTTCTGGCCTAGGGTGAGGTCGGAGGGGGCAGCCGCCGTAGCACCCCTTACTCCCCAGCCAGGGCAGCTCAGGACTCAAGTGGAGCTCGGGCCAGAGGGAAAATGCTCGGGCGCACGAGGTGGACGCAGACGACTCACATTCAGCCCTTGAGAAACTGTCCACACTGGGCAGGGGTGACCCTGGGAATCTCGTTCCCAAGACCGGACCAGACCCCGTTCCCGGGCCCCAGACAGAGCCCAAGGTTCAGGCTGCTCTGCCGACCCTGCCGCCCTCCAGCCTCCAGGAACGTGCGCACTGGGGTGTCTAAAAAGGCAAACACCCTGTCGTTCTCTCAGGAGGAGTGGAGATTGGTACCCCTAGGCGCTCAGCGGGGGGTGGGGAGAGCTGGGGGGTGGGAGGCGGGGCTTAGCGCTTCCTGCGCAGTGATGGGGAGGCGGGATGAGACTTACAGGGAGGGTGAGAGGGGGCTACTAGGATGCACTCAGAGTTCTGCTACTCAACGCAGGAGGTGGGGGTCCCCCAGGACAGAGAGTGGGTGCCCAGGATGCAGATGTCCCCCAGGATGGAGAACAGGTACCCAGCTCCAGGCGGGGGTCCCCAGGACGGAAAGCAGGCGTCCAGGACACCCTCCGTGCACACGGGAGGGAGCTTCCCCAGAAGTGGGGGTTCCGCTGTTCATCAACCTTCACCACCTTCTCGCTCCTACAGGCAAACCTCTTCACGGACAGGCCCGTGGCGACCCAGCCTCCACAGCCCGAGTTTTTCCCCCCGGCCTCACGAAGAGGGAATCCCAAGCCCCTTTTCTGAACCTGCAATGTGGGATTTTGTCCGTCTTCCATTTCAGTAGGTCCGAGCTCAGGAGAGACGGCTCTGGTTGGACAGCAGAGGCACTCGGAGTGAGAACATAAATGTCTCCCAACATTCTAGAATGCTCAAAAGTTTCCATTCAACTTGAGCAACATAAAACTACCGCTGGCTAAATGGACACAATCAAGGCTTGAGACGCCGCCGTCCCTGAAATGGACCCGGCAGAGGAGATTGCTGGCCTCAGCCCAAGAGCGCATTAGCCCAAGATCGAATGGTCTTTGGGGGATCATTTGACCTCGTGGCAACTGGACAGTCCTTGGCTGCGAGGGGGGTTCACCGACAAAACCTCCTACGAGAAACGTCAGGAAGACGTGCTCTCCCAGACCTCATGGGTTTGAGAGTGGCGGGGATTGTTCTTCCAATAATCCCTCCCAGAGTTGCTGAAAAGAACTGGGTCAGGACGGCGGGGCTGGGTCACACCCCCTCAGGGGCCCGGATCACGTTCGGGCACCGACAAAGGCGCTCAGTGGAATAATAGCCTCTTTGCAAAGGTCCAGAACCTTTGAATCAACTCAGGCCCTGGGTTTTGTAGACACAAACCAAGGGAACTGAAAAGATAGCTTTTTGGGGGGAAAAGAATGAATTTCAAAGGAATAGAGTGAGACACGATTACAGCAAAGCCACAGGCCCAGGCGAGGGGCGCTCGGCCGTTCTGCACACCTGGCCTCCGGCCCCGGCCCCCCGCTGGGGCCCCACACAGCTGTGGGGCGCCCTTGCTGTGCCTCAGACGGGCTGGGCAGAGCCTGCTAAGGTGGGGCGTTCTTTTTTAACTCACATTCATTCTTAAATGAAAAGTTGGAGTCGGAGCTGACATGGAGCCAGCGAGATACGCAGCCTGTGGCTGGAGCCCAGTGTCCCGAGTGCCCGTCGTCCTGAGTCGGAATTAGCGTGGTCGGCAGGCCTGGCGTGGTGTCCAGCAGCTCCTGAGAATGCCTGGGGGGGTGGGAGTCTTCATGTAAACACCCCCTTCTGGCCAAGGCCCTTGAAGTTCTTTTTGTCCAAGTGACATCTATCTGGAGTCACCATCCCCACCAAACAGCCGGCCAGAGACACGTGCCTGCAGGCCTGGGGGTCTCCTGGCCCAGAAGGAAGCTGGCAGTGGTGAAAGGGTGACGGTGGCAAAGAGCTGGTGGCAGCAGCCCCGGAATACAAGCCAGCATCTTACCCAGACCGCTGCGCCTGAGGACTGGCTCCGGCCCCCAGAGCTTACGTCTCTGCATGGGGTGCAAGCTCAGGCAGGGGAGCAGAACTGACCTTGTGTCCTGGTAGGATGGCCCCAGATCTGTGGGGACCTGCCGTCCCCACTGATGCCCACTCTCTGATGTGAAGGTGTCCCCAGGGAAGCAGGGGTTGCAGCTGCAACCTTCGAGAGCATCCCCGAGGAAAGACTTGTTCTAAAACCCATCCCGTGACAGCCGAATACAAGCAACAGGAGTGATTTGACCTGAATGTCTATCATGGCCCAGAGGCAGACCCCGCGGTGCCAGCCGTGCCTTGGGGCTCCCTGGAGGACGGGACACAGAGGGCAGGGCCACGCCCAGGGGCAGACAGTCCCGTTTTGCCGACAGGACGTGAGGTGCAATCTGCTGCTGAAGCCCTGCTTGGCAGGAGCCCAGCAAGGGCCGAGGGTCACGGCTGTCTCAGGGAAGTCCTGCTGTTCTGCTGTCCTGGGCTGCAAGGGTCCGGGGTGACAGACAAATTTAGACTGCGTCTGTGAACTCAAGCTCACTGTCGGAGACAGATGGGTCCTCTGTGCACTTTCCCGTGGGCAGCAGTGACCTCTGGCCAGGCTGGGAGCTGTCAGACCTGGGTCAGCTCAAACCTGCCCCCTGCGCCCTGGGTGGGAATTCTTGCTCCGTCCTGGTTGCATGAGAACTGGCCAATACCCAGGGGACGGTGAAACCCAAAGCGAGCCACCAGGGTCATGAATTGTTGGGAGAAAATGCGCCCCCACATCCCCACCCCCCAGGAGAACACCCTCTTGCTGCTCCCTGGACAAGGCCCCGGCCTCACCCCTCCAGCTCAGCCTCAAATTCTAGCTTTGGGGGCGGGTGTTGTGAGGATCAGGGAGCGGAGCTGAGGGGCTGTTCGCGCAGATTCCTGCTTCCCCGTGGTCCTTCAGACGCCCCCACGGACTCAGCCACGTGGCCTGCTGGCCTGCCCCGCAGAGTTGAGGGGTGCAGGGGCCGCTCACCCTCCTGGGGCCTCCATCTGCCCCGCGGTGGTGAGCAGCCCAAGCCCTTTCCGTGTCTTCGCACCGCGAGGACACACGGGACTATTCAGCCAAAGAAATGGATGCAAGGAAAGAGACAGACAGGAGCGCGTGTGCACAGGCGGGCGTGAGTGTGTGCAGAGTGTGCACAGACCCACTCCCTCAGCCCGGCCCACGCGGCCGCTCCAGGCGGTGAGGACGGCTGAGGCGTGAGGCCGCGAGGATCCTGCCGGGCCACGCCGGGACCGCGCAAGTCCTGCCTTCTCCGACTTTTTAAAAATCATCCTGTTCATGAGGCTTCGAGATTGAAAACACCCTTTGAGATGAACGACAGTGGCTTTAACGTGACACATGGGAACATGGGCCCGCGGCACCTGGCGGGGGCCCCGCGGCCTCTTGGTGGCACCGCTCTTTATGGTCACGCCACGTCAGCCTCGGCGCTGCCCGCGCGGTCACGAGCGCTGTGCCCTGGCCCCCCGGGCGGGTGCGCGCCGGCCGCTCCAGGCGCTGCCCTGGGCCAGAGGAGGCCTAGTGCGGGGTCGGCGGGCTGTGCGGGGCGGACCACGCGCCAGGCGAGCCCGCGCACCGGGAGGACCACCCTGCCTTGGCCCGGGGCCGCCCCGCGGAGCATGGAGAAGGGGCCGCGAGCAGACGCAGTGAGACGGAAGCTGCCGTGAGTGTGTTTCCAGCAGGTCTGAAGCGGGGAGCAGCCATATTTTAAATTCCCAGCTAATCTTCGCCGACTACGTGAGCTATTTAGTTTAAAATGTTTCCTTTAAGATTAATCTGCACGCGCACACCCCCCGCCCCCCAGCAGCGGGCACACCGGCACACGCACGCGTGAGACGGACAGAAGGCGGCCATCGGCGCGCGGCCCCCGAGCCACGCTGCCCGTGGCCCAGAGCCACATCCTTGGGCGGAGCTGCTGCTTCTGAATCCTGCCTGGCAGGCGCCCAAGTGAGGGGCGCCCGGTGCTGTTGGGAGCCCCCGCTGCCGGCGGCTCGGGTTACAAGCCCGCAGTGACAGCAAATTTAGAATCAGCTGTGAGCTGGAGCTCGGCTCCCTGAGCAGCAGGCTGGGCTCCGCGGGCTTCCTGCCGCGTCTTCCTCCCAGCATGGGAACGGGCCTCGCGTTCTCCTCGGGTGGAATCCTTTTCTCAGGAGTGTCCCCCGTTCCAGCCCCCGCCCCGGGCCACCCGGCCTCCCATCCAGGGTGGACGTCTACTAGAAGACATCACTTCCCAAGCCCGTTTGCAGCCAGCCCCGCCCTAGTGAGGCCCGTGAGGAGACCAGGGACAGCCAGTCCGCTGGCTGGGAAGTGCCCGCAGCTCCTGACGGAGGTGACACGTTAAATTCATCTTTTTATTGAGAAAAGTCAGTGCCGTCTGTATCGGCATCAAGGTCAGGCAGACCCTTCTGCAGCCCCTCTCCAGCAGGCTTTCCCCACCAGGGTCTGCAGCAGGGTCTGGTCAGCACGGGCAGAGGGCGGGTCTCCGCCTCAGGAGAACAGGGCCCAGCGGAAGGCAGAGCTGGCCCACCGGGGTTTTCTTACCGGGAGACCTAAGTCCCGGCTGCGCACGGAGCTGCCTGGCTCACTGGCCGGCGTCTAGCGCGTGGCCTCTGCCAGCCTGTCCGGACTCCGCTGCCAGGAAGGCCCGCGTGGGACCTCACAGTTACCTAAACACGCACAGGACAACGATTCATTCAAAACACCACCTGAGATCACTGACCAGAAAAAACATTCCTACACTGCACTTAGAACTGAAGAACCAGGCGAAGGAGACTCATCCAGGGTCGGCTCCGGGAGGCCAGGTCCAGGGGAGAGAAGAGGCCCTGGCCGTCACTAGCGTCCAGCGTGGCGGGGGGCTGCCGCTGCTGCCGAACTTCCAGGCATCCTCGCCGCTGCTGGCGGGGCCTCCGCATCGGGACGGCGCGGGGAGCAGGACAACTTCCTCTCATCCGGAGAGTCGGCCGGCACTCACCAGACGCTGTCAGAGACGGGCGCGCTCCTTGGCTCCTGGAAGATTGAAAATCACCGCCACCGCGAGGAGACGTGTGAACAGAAGTCAGGCGTGAGGGTGGCGGCGCCTGCTCTGCACCCCGATAAACCTGTTCCACCCCGTGTATGTCACGATCCACCAGGATTCGGTCTCAGGATTTCCTGGATGAGCCAACGAGTGCAGAAGCAGCTACGATTCACACGTGCCTCACGGTTTCCCTTTTCTTTCCACATGTCACACGCTCGCCGAGGCGAGAAGCAGCGACCCCGTCAGAGCCGCTCTCGAAGGCTGCGGAGCGGGGCCGGGCGCTGCTCCCTGCCCCGCGGCTGCACAAGAGCGCTGCTCGGTGACTGTCCTTCTCCACCACCATAATTTTACAGAAAATATTTTTTTTTTTTTTTTTTTTTATAGAGGCATGTTTTTTATTTATTTATTTTATTTGTTTGTTTGTTTTGTTTTTACATGCACTGGGTACAGTCAGAAGCGCGGGAGGGTGAGAGAATTCACCAGAGCCAGAGTGGGGAGCAGAGCAGGCAGAAGGACTGAAGAACAGTGCTGAGGGGAGCAGCGGGCGGCAGGAGAGGTCTGCGCGCCATGTGGGACCCTCCTCTGGTGGCCGGGGAGCAGCCGGGGATCGAACCGGTGCCGCAGAGGCCGCGGGCAGCTTCGCAACCCAGCGCTCAACTGCTGCGCCACCGGGGAGGCCCCAGAAAATATTTTTTTTTCGACTTCTCATTTGGCTAAATCCTAAATTTTCTTTTCCAAGCAAAAACTCCATTTCGGATATCAAGCTGTGTTGGGGC